ATACATTGTCCGAAACATAATTTGTTGCAGCTTAAGAAATAAATGCAGGGGAATGTAAAGCATGTAACAACATGACTAAATTCATATTACAAACTAGCTCATGATTATTATCACATCATACACTGTAAAACTCAATTTGTTCACTTAACTTAAAATCTTTTTGGAAACAGCTTGCACTCAAAACTTTTACTTTGGTACAGTACAGTAACATAAACGTTTTGAGTACACCTGACACAAAAATAAATGTGTCAAACACAAAAAAATTACGTTGAGCTCACAAGGGGTGAGCAATAATTTTTTATGTCATTTTGACAATCTGGGGCATTCATCTAGACTTTACATGAAATTTTAGTCATGGATGGATTGGGATTTGCAATGTATTTTTGGCTTCATAATAGCTGCAAAATATTTAAAAAAAAATCTAGAGTCAAACACATATTCAAGCAGAGAACTACTGCGGCATTTATCTCTAATCAGTGATGCCACAGTAGCTGCAGCTTTCTGTGACATATGATTTATTGTTGTTGTGCCATTTAACTGATATTGTAATAAGAATAAACATAAATCATATAATAATAAATAAATACTAGAAATACTACTACTATAATAATAAATAAAGGAGTTCTGAAAGCCATTATTGTCTACACTTTGACATGTACAGTAATCACTGGGTCACTGATATTGATTAAAGAGTCTGTTTCTCCAGACACATGTAAGTTTTGTTATTTAACATCTGACCTGTTTAACGTAACCCTTTTAAGTGGTTTGCTATTAGATTATGACCTTAACTAGTTTAACAAGTTTTTCAAGACCTGCACACGTCTTGTAATACACCTACTAAAATACATATTTTCATATTTCAGTCATTTGACATCATCACAGTACATGATAAAAATGATTGTCCAAATCTTTTCCATGGGGAAAATCAGATCAAGCGGCTGGCTATTCCATTTTTAACATTTTTACTCTTTCTTGTGTTTTGTCCCTCCAGCCTCCTCCTCTGTGGTTCCTGTCCCTGGAACATTTTCATGGCCCCTGGCCCCCAGAGGGAAGCCCAGGAGGGGCATGCTACGGCGAGCTGTGTTCTCAGACCTCCAGAGGAAAGCCCTGGAAAGAACTTTCCAGAAGCAGAAATACATCAGCAAACCAGACAGGAAGAAACTTGCCAGTAAACTGGGACTTAAAGACTCCCAGGTACACACCAAGGATTATTTGAGCTATATTTTAGAAAATAATTATATGTAAGTGTATATATCAACCATGTCACGAGAAAGAACTAAAGCATTTAATGCCCCATTGGTCTCATATTGGTCATTTCAAACTGGGCTTGTAGGGAAACTTTCTGTCCAGTTTGTACCCCAAACCAGCTGTTAACAAGGTAAGTAGTTGGTAAATGCCTCTGCACCGGTTGTAGCTGTGGTCAGAGGTGTTATGTTCTCAGGTTGTCCGTCTGTCCGTCCCATTCGTGTAAATGCGATATGATTTTTTAAGAATTTGGCACAAAGTTTCACTTGGACTCAACAATGAACTGATTGGATTTTGGTGGTAAAAGGTCAAGGTCACTGTCCCCCTATTCGTCTCATTCTCGTGAATGCAATATCTCGAGAAGACCTTGAGGAAGTGACCGCGGTCATCTTATTCCGGTCAGTAGGATATCTTGAGAACACCTTGAGGGAATTTCTTTACATTTGGCACAAACATCCAGTTGGACTCACAAATGAACTGATTTGAATTTGATGGCCGAAAGTCAATGGTCAAGGTCACTGTGGCCTCATAGTTTTAGGCTATAAGTCGAAAATTCATATGTTAATTATGACAAAAATTAACGCAAAGGATAAAATGATGGAATTAAACCATCTTATATCCAAATGGGTAAAGGTCACTGTGACATCATAATGTTCTGCAGAAACACTTTTCTGGCCATTTCTTAACCTCCTATCCCAGAAACAGAAGGGGAGACACTTGGTCAGATACTGAATTGACATGTGTGAAGCATCCATGTTTTCATCAACATGGATGTAAACTGTAAATGCAGCTTGATGTTGGCTGAGACATACAACCACATGGTGGTAACGTTATTTTTTTTCTGTGTCCTGTGTAGGTGAAGATCTGGTTTCAGAACCGCAGGATGAAATGGAGGAACTCCAAGGAGAGGGAGCTGCTCTCAACAGGTGGCTGTCGCCAGCAGACCCTCCCCACCAAAACCAACCCCCACCCTGACCTCACTGACGTAGGCAGCACCCACTGCCACAGGCTCAACAGGACTGCACCCATCAACGAGTCACAGCTTCACCACCATCATCATCACAATACCTTTTCTCCGTCAGAGTCTAGCAAACAGTCAGAGCTCTCAGAGTCAGACAACGAAGAAATCACAGTTTCCTAAGACCTTCAGAGATCTGCTTACACTCTGATTCTTTCTACACAACAGTCCCCTATAATGAGATGCTGTCAGCTGTGAAGAACGGCAGGACAAAACAGGGATTTATCAAAGAAATGGAAGTGAATACCACAAGTGCTTGAATCTACTCTGTACATAGCCTTTGCCCCTCTGTGCCATATATCTGTACAGTGTTGTTAATATTACTTTTATATGTAGTTCAGTGTATCTATATACAGTAAATAAAGTATGCTGAGCTATTTTAGATATTTGTAGATTGAAATGTTTGAAACTCTTAAATATACAATTGTTTTTTTCCATACATATTTGTATTCTTTATATTTTCTCAAATAAATCTTGACAAATATCATTCAGTGTTGGTGTTGAGTGTCCAAATTAGAATAATTAGTCATTTGCAACTACGCATCATCTAGTGTCCTGTCAGCATTAGCTATGAACAGTATATACATGTTTTATATTTTCAAGTGAACATTATAGACACATATATCATATATAGCTCATATATTTACTAGTCATTAGTTTAGCACTGGTTTGATTTTGAAGACGGGTGTAAACTAGTGTTGTCGAGACCAAAATCATGTTGTGTCTGTCTGAGGTTTAACTTAAGCTCACTGCACTTTATGATTTAAGATACCATAAAACTTTAATCAAAAGCCTACTCACAATAAAACATCCAGTCCCTTTTACCAGCCTGGTGTGGCTTCACATTTTGAAAAATAAAGGCCTGTCTCAATTAGACGCCTGGTCTAGTCTACTCTGCAAAGTAGTTCATTTGTAAAGAAGTTCTTTGGATGTATAAAACCAGGCTGTTGCGGTGCTTTAATCCTCGGGTGCCATAAAATGGGGTGTCATAACCACCTCTCTCTGATGTGCTGTCTGTCGGAGCTAGATCAAATGAATGATTCATAATTGATATGTTATTCAAACCCCAATTTTTATAGAAGTAATATTCATACTGGTTAACATGAACAATCTGATTGTATTTCCAATCTTTGCTGAGAAACAGTTTGTGAAAGGAATTAAAGGCCTGTCCCAAATATGGCCGGTTGAGTGTTATAATTTAAACAAATAATAGCCTGGGCTATTAATTGAAGTTTTACGGTATATGTGCATATTCCCACAGCTCCTATCATTTTATAATTTTTTCCGTGTCTAATTACTTATGTCCTCTGAAGGCAACATTATCATAACAGGGTGTCTACAGGTATCAGACACTTACATTTTTAAAGGAATACTAACCCAAGGAAAATGGCAAACATTGATTTATCAGGGATCACGTTTAACAACAAACTCTCACACAGCTAGTATCCAGTCGTATCCTCAGTACTTTCAAAGCACATGCATTTCTACTAAAAACCTTTATATCTGACAGTGAACTGAAAGTGAAATTTTTCAAAGCCAGACTCCAGTATTTATTTTAATATTATTTTATTTTTCTTTATCTAGCAAAAACACTTGTGTTTGGGAAGCACGGAGCACTAGATAAATGAGACTTGGATTATATGAGAGTTTGTAAACGGATGTTTTGATCTAGTTTTGCTGTTAACACATTATCAAACGTAGTTCCCAATCAATCAATATTTTTGTCATTTTCCATGAAGGCTTGCGAGAAAAATGTTTTCTGCATCATGTTTCCCTGAATTTGGCAGCACATCCATCCTCACAACCCCAGACCACATGTAATCACACCAGCTCAGGCCCTTCACAGCATCTTAACCTGCAAGATAGTCTGAGACCAGTCACCTGAACAGCTGATGGAATAATTGATTAGTGCAACCAAAGAATTTCTGCAAACTGTAAGAAACTGTCTCAGAGAAGCTCCTCTGCATGCTTATCGTCCTCACCAGGGTCTCAACCTGACTGCAGTTTGTCATCTTAATGACTTGTGCATTTGTGCGGCTTGTTGGAAGTAGTGCCAAACTCGTGTAAACAACATTGGAGATGTCTTAAGGTAGTAAAATCAGTTCACAGACAACAGCTCTGGTGGACATTCCTGCAGTCGGCATATCAATAATATGCTCCCTGAGTGTCCTTTTATTGTGACCATACCAAGGCACACCTGTGTTGTAATGATGCTGTTTAATCAGCATCTTGATATGCCACACCTGTCAGGTGGATGAATTATCTTGGAAAAGGAGAAGTGCTCACTGACATGGATTTGAACAAATTTGTGCCCAAAATTTAGGAACAATGTATCTACTGAGTGCATACAAAATCTGACATCTTTAACTGAAACCTGTGTTACCTTTAAATGTTCGTTCAGTAAATAAGAGTAAGTAGTGTACAGCATGTGGCTCCATGATGAAATTAAAATTAGATAAAATATTTGTGGAAATTAAGACCTCACAAATTCATGTTTTCCTGCATCATTGAATTTTCTCAAGATTCAGATGTGAAAGGGAAGAGAAAGGGGAACCACTGCGTTAAGGATCCAGCCTTGATGGCACACACACTCGATGCAGTGAGCTACCTGGGCACCCATACCTTATGAATTTTAAATGTAGACTATGCATGTTTTTTTTCCCCAGCTCACCTAGTCAGTTATTGGATATTCATGTATCAGCCATTTTAATTCACAATCAGCAAACTCAAAGACGGATTGTTAAAAAAAAACAAGACTTTATTGCCATTTTTCCCACTATGGATTATACAAGGAAAGCTGGAGAGTAACAATGTAAGACTAGTACTGACATTCAAATTAAATACAAAAACAATGTTATTTGTGTTTCTTTCTTTCTGACGGGGCAATCCTCATCATTGCCGTCGTCAGAAAAACAATGACTTAATTACACAGCAGTTTTGTTAATGCAAACTTTATTTACATGAGAAAATAAAAGCAATCACTGACTTCATGCCGTACTCTTTAAGCCTACAATCACAACAGAGTGGCTGCTGTTAAATAACTGAAGGGAGGTGTTAGTGGAGGACATTAAATACAGTATTTACAGCCAAATGTCAACCCACAGGACAGTCCAACACACAACTTAAACACACCTGTATACAGCTCTGCTTGGTCCTCCTCAATGAAGCAGCTCAGTCCCAACTGGCTGAAAAGCAACAGCAGGTGGTGCTAAATTGTGCCACTTCTCCAGAATAAAAGCAGTAGTTTTTCACCCTGTGCCAAGTCTGCAGGTTTTGATCCCAACCAAACACTACAGTTGATCTTAAGAGTTCTGCTGGGAGGAAAAATCTGAAAACTTTTGGCCCTTAAAAATTTGAATACTAAAAACCACTGACTTTAAACAGAGGACCATGAAATGCTTTCAGAACAAAACAAGACAGACTCCCTGTTCAAACACCAGGATAAAACACATAAAGAACTTCCTTCAACACCTGCTATACAGCTGTGGCTTTTGTCAGTTTGTCTTTTTTCTGACCCTGATGGGGTTCAGAGGGCTTGATGTCACTGTGTGAATGCAGTTCAACTCATTTTGTGGCAGCTTAAGTGTCTGACATTGACAGAAATCAGACACTCTGTTGAAGTGCTGGAGCTTCAAGCCATTTTTACACCGTGCTATTTTGAAAGGTGTCAACTATCAGCATTGCTACTAAACAACGCTGATTTGGAATTTTCATACTAATGATGCAGACATAGCAAATATGAGCTTTCTGCAAACCATTAGATGCTCCCAGTGCAAACGGGGCTTGAGCTGAGAATTACAGTGACAGTGTTTGGCCACAAGGGGGCACTCACACGCTGCATTTACACAGCTACAACATGAGCTCTTTACAAGTGTTTCTCCACCCAAACGCAGCAGCAGTGATGTTGTACATTATGGTAGAACAGGAACAAACAACATTTTATGACTTTGTTTTGTCCTGAAACATGAGAAGCACTTAATTACAGTTAAGTGGTTAACGACCTTTAAATATGTACAACATATTGTGCCGTGATACTGAAACAGAGAGGAGGAGGTGGGTGAGTTCAGTTTCTTATCATAATACAGTAAAAAGTGGACATAGGAGAGTGGAGGGTGGGGGACACCCTGAAAGAGAAGGCTGGGAGAGGACAGGACAGGACAGGACTGGACAGGACAGAACAGGAGGATGTTTGTTTGTCAAGATGAAACTGTACAGACTGAGATGTTAGCTGATTATGTGATCCTGTACACACTACATCAAAGCTCACTCCTAGACTCAGGCTTCAGCTTTTCATAAAATGTCTTTCTGGTAAGTTTGAATAGTAGCTAAAACACTTAGATGGTTTCTGCGGTGTGTTTATGTGGAGGTCAGTCACAGCCTCTGTTCAATCTGAATGTACTCAACTACAATCAGATTAGGGTGCGTTTGATGTCTACTAACTTACAGGCACAGTGGGTGGAGTCAGGTTCAAACTTGAGGGTGTGTTTTGTCTGCTGCTACCTGGTTTGTCAATGGAGGGGGCGGAGCTCTAGTGTCCAAGTGCTTTCTACTTCCATCCACCAGAACATGAATATAAACACTGAACAAGTTAAAAAGAGGGATGTTTTATTTTCTACTACCAGCTGAACTCCACAGGCTTTGCGGATGAGATGAGGTGGTGGCGCAGCGCTCCTCACTGCCGGTTGCTCTTTATCCTCTCCAGACGTTTCTTCAGGTCGTCCAGGTTGGCCGCCGGTGAGGCCGAGCGGGTGTGTGCGTGCGTCGGGGAATGGGAGTGTGCGTTGTGTTCCTGCTGGTACAGCTCTCGGGACTCTTTGAGCTGAGACAGCTTACTGTGGAGCATGTCGGTGGAGGAGGCCACCGACGGCTTCGAGGACAGCAGGGAGGAAATGGGAGGTCGTTGTTGAGGCTCGTCATCCCCTCCAACACTCTGCAGCATGGAGAGAGAGGAAGAGATAGGTTAGCTTCTCTTACATCTGTACAGGAAATGACTATTATTAAGGATGTTGCTGTTCAACCTTGGCAAACATCAATGCTCATCTGTGTTTCAGCAGAAAGATAAATTACAGTTACCTCACAGAGACTCCTGCAGATCATAAGCTTTAGACTTCAACTTTTTATGTATGGTTTAGTGTTTTTGGAGGGGAAGAAACCTGTATATTACTGTTACTGTGCAACTGTAAACACAGCGTTCAATATTTGTAACTGAAAGCAAACAAGACATTCACTTCAATGTATCCACCAACAGAATTTTTTTTTTTTACTCGAGAGATGCAACATGTAGTCAACATGACAAACAATAGTTTTGTACCAAGCACAAAGTGATCTTGTTTCTATATCAAAAAAGTTTAATATAAAAGCAGCAAGAGAGAAGAGTCAGCTTCTAAGTAAACTATAGTTCACTATTGAGTCATTAACCAATTTCACTCTCATTGTTTAAGATATTACATGAGTTGACTTTATTCAGTTGATAATGAAATTTAATCATGACATCCCAAAGTACTATTGAACTACATATATTGATACACAGCTACATAGTGGCAGGTTTTGATAATAATGACTTGATCAATTATTTCCAGTGGGATTAAAATTCAAGACTTAATTTATAACCAAAATTTAATTTTAACAAAACAAAACTAGAAATATTGCCCCGCGGTTGTATGCCTCTGTGCACCAGTCAAGATTCTCTTACAGTTTACATCCAAGTCTGTGAAAACATGGTGCTTCACACACATCTTCAACCCGACAGCACAGAAGATCTATACCATCAGCACAGTTTCAAGGTGGACACCCAAGATTATTGTCACCAAATTCCCTCAAGGCGTTCTAGAGATATCTTGCTCACAAGGATGGGACAGATGGAGGGACGGACAACCCGAAAACATAATGCCTTCTGCCATGGCTATTATCAGTGCCGAGGCATAACAAAAACAGAGCTGAGCGGATAACAGTGTACATGAGGACTGATCTAAATCAAGAAAAGTAACACTATTTTCAAAATGATGCACTGTAATGGACTGAAGTGTGTGTGTGTGTGTGTGTGTGTGTGTGTGTGTGTGTGTGTGTGTGTGTGCATGCACGTATGTGTAAACTAACCCTGGAAGTGTTTTCCAGGCCTTGTCTCTGTCGGAGGATCTTGAGTCTCTCGTAGTAAACAGCTGGTTTCAGCTCCTCATTGTTACTGCTCAGACTGAAGTCCACGCCATGCTGAGGGATCACTGCACAGAGAGACACACACACACACACACACACACACACACACACACACACAAACTCACGTTACTATACACGCCTGACTTCATTCTGAGCAAAGTGCACAGTGACAGCTTCCAGGTGTACCTGCTGAGGTCTGGATGCGAGCTTTGCCCTCTCTCTCAGACTCAATCATACGAAGGCCTCGCTCCACGTAGCTCTGGAAGAACTGGGATGTGTTTTTAAGGAAAGGCTCCAGATCTGCATCCGAGTACTTCTGTTTGTACTCGTACAACTCCGTCAAGCCCTGAGAAAAAAAAATTACTCAAACATTACTTAATGTTTCTCAAGCCCTTTGTTATAATTAACCTATTGTTTGCTGTAGTGAAGTTATAAAAAGTCAATACAAATTGTAGCAGAAACGATTCTTTCAGGTCTAAAACAAACAAATAGTAACAACTTTTAAGGGCAGAGCCTTGCTGACCTCTTTAGTGTTCTCCTTGGAGCCGATCTTCTTGAAGATTTCAGACAGAATGTCACTGACCTTTGCCTTTGACATCCGATCGTCCTGGGAGCAGAACACAACCGTCAAATTTGCATTACATCTATCGCCACATTTATAAAAATATAATTCATTTAGATACACAGTCATCCTATAGACAAGAACCTAATGAAATGGCCCCAAAAAGTGTGTGTGTGTGCGCTATATTTGGTACGTGTTGCTCACCGTACGCAGACCACCCTTCTCGTTGCCACGGTCACTCTTCAGTCCTGATAGGTTTCCAGAGTGTTTGACCACCCGCCTCAGGTGAGCCTCCAACTCTGACTCATTACGATTCTCTATCATTGATAGGTGGTCCAGGATCTGTTTATTGAAGCATTGATACAATGACTTATTGAAAAGTCAATAAATTAAAATCAAATACAGTTCATTGGTATGTTCTGTATTTTTCAACCTGGACCCTATTTTCCCAAATTTTTGTGTCAAATGTTTTTGTTTTTTTTAATTGATCCAGAGCGAAACAGTTCACCTGTCAATTTACGCCCAATTAAAGTGCTTGTTTTTGCCACTGACAGGCTCAGATTGTTATTTTAAGTCTCTAACAAAAAGGTCCATCTCTGTAGGGACCCTTTCCTTAATGTTGTCAAAGAGGAAGATCCTTTTTGTTTAAAGAGAATCAACCCCAAAATTGCTTTAATCAAACCCACCAGACTCCATTTCAATAAAGCATCGTAAATCATACTTCATTCAAAATTGACAGAAACAGATTAAAACGCACAGAAACCATCTTTATTCATCTTTCCACTGTTCAAACAAGCATCAACTCTGGTTTGGTTGAAATTAACCCTTAATTCACCCAGTTAGATGTGAGAATATGCTGCTCTATACATGCTACATTACTGTTTCTTTAAATGGAGTCTGGTGGGTTTGGCAATGGTGATTTTGGGTCTGTTTCTGGTTAAACAACTAGAATTACTGCCACATGGTTGTGTGCCTCTGTAGGCCAGTCAAATTTCTCTTACAGTTTACATCCATGTCATACACAGGAGATCTATACAATCAGCACAGTTTCGAGGTGGACACCCAAATTTAGGGTCACCAATTTAGTCTCCCCTTCTGTTCCTGACATACAATATTAAGTCATGGCCAGATAAGTGTTTTTGCAGTATGTTATGATGTCTCAGTGAAGCTGGCCTTTGACCTTTTGGATATAAAGTGTCATCACTTCTTCATTATATTCTATTAGACATTTGTGTGAAATTTCATCATAATTAGCATAAGAATTCTTGAGTAATGGACAAAAACATATTTTGTCCATTACTCAAGAATTCTTGAGTCCAAGAACACATTTGTGCCTAATTTGAAAAAAAATCCCTCAAGGTGTTCTTAAGATATCCCGTTCACAACAATTAGACAGACAAGGTCACAGTGACCTTGACCCTTGACCACTTACATCTAGCCAGTTCATCCTTAAGTCCAAGTGAACATTTGTGCTGAATTTGAACAAATTTCTTTCATAGGGATCTTGAGATATCATGTTCACAAGACTGAGATAGACGGACGGACAACCTGAAAACACGATGCCTCCTTCACAGCCATCGCCGGTGAAGACGCATAAAAAGGATCTTACTCTTTAACAAAAGGTTTATCTCTCCTTACAGTAAGTTGTCACACACTTAGAATAACAGTCTGAGCTTATCACTGGAAAAAAACAAGCGCTATTAGTGGACTAAAATTTAAGGTGTGAACATGCCCGAAGGATTACATTGCAGCCTGTTTTGCTGCTGGCAGCTGCAGCGCTCTCACTCAATACTGGACCAATATAAAAAATACCTAACTTACTTTGTAACACAGCAAGACAATAACTCAAAAATACAATTTAATACATTGTGTGTGTTTATTACCTTGGCCCCCGTGAGCTTGCAGAGTGTGTGTAACAGAGTCTTGAGGGTTCTGTGTGGAACATCGCTCTTGAGCTGCTTGAGCTTCTCTTTGGGGAAAACCTTCATGAAGTTGTGTACGTCCAGAAGGATCCGATCCAGGTTGATGCTGTTGATGGTCTCTGGGAGAAAACGGATCATCCTCCACAGACACTGAGCACACACACAAACACAGGAGAGTCACTTTGAGGTGTATGATGTGGCATGTTAACAGGCAGCAGGGTCAGCACTGGTAGGTTGTTATGTCCTCTGTTGTGACACTCCTTACCTTCATGACCAGCTCAGAGAACATTGGAGGGGCTGTCGTGACTAACGTGTCCTGAAGCAAAACCAGCAGAGCACTGCAGAGAGGCAGGAAGGAGTCAACTCAACAGATTAAAACAATGTTTACTTTGTTTCTTCTACAATTTTTTTTGTAAATTATCTTTGCCAACAGTTTCATTATGAACAGGGTCACTTGATTCCATCTATGTGTTGTGCTCAACTTTGAACCAGGTTAGCTGATAGCTACTTTCCCCAGTTAGTTAGCACAGCTGTTAAGGTTGGGTATTTGTCAGTTGCAAAATACTTAAAAAAATAAATAAAATTAAACTCCAGCGGCCATATATGTGCAAGTAGCGCAAGGTGAAAATTTACTTCCTGATCAGAGTTAACACAGCATTATGTCTGTAATGTTAGATTGAGTGATGTCTTATTAAAAATGTTGAGCGTTACCTGCAGCTTTGCAGATCTATCATTTTTGCGACCACTACTGTTTACTATTGGACTTTTGGTATTTGTTACATGACTGTCTGAAATAATGTTACAGTCCAGAGCAAATTTAATTTTATTCAGATGTGAGCAGTTTCTTATACTAACCTGATCATGTTGGTTTGGTCAGACTTCTCCAGAACTCTGGTCACCAGCAGGTTGACTGATCTGATGACCTGCTGTCCATCCTCTATGTCCTCCACTCTGTCATCCAGCAACAGTGTTATCAACCCGTGCATCAGGTCCTTCAACACACCCATGGATGCCTCTCTGGCCAAGGCCTCCATAGAGAACAACTAACAGGAAGACAGGAGGAAAGACCACAGTGTCTCATCATCATCATCGTTACCTCCCATCCTTCATCTACCTCACCAGTGTAGTTACGCTTGGTGACATGTCATGTTAGTGTATGTAGCAGAGTAGCAGCAGGCAGTGACTCACAGATAGCATGTTTCCTATGATACAGCTGTACAGCTTGATGAGGTCCTTCTTGTCCAGCCGGTCATCAGCCATGTGCGTGCTGTAAATGAGCCTCAGCTGCATGAAGGTTGCGATGAGGAACTGATCAATGTGTCCTGACATGACCTCTGCCTTGTCCTCCTGCCGCAACACCTCATCGATCTGCGGGGACAAACCACATACTTTTGATCCCACCTCAAAGCGGTTACAATGGATATTTCTATAACAAATCATGAGACAATATGAAAAGGGTTGCTTGTAGCAATGAACATACAGAGTTATCACTAGATTCTGTAGCTCCTCTAAGCTTTACGGAGCCTCTTCATGAGATCATTGTTTAGCTTTGGTTTACTCCCACTGTTCTCACACTTAGACAGAGACTAACTGGTGAACAGACTGGAGCATTTAGCAGCTAAAGAGCCCAATTTTCCTTCAGGAGTTGGTAGAGACCAAAAACAGAGCTGGAACAGTCTTGTATTGGTTGTACATTCATCGTGTGGCCTGAAACACTACTTCATCTGAATCATTATATTTCTTTATAACTGATTGATGTGTAAATAAGCAACTATTTGCTAATACTTTATCATCAATTTAAAAGGTCACAACTTCACATCTTGTTTTCTGTTGGCCCCAGGTAGGGTTGGATGATATAACCACATATCGTGCGACAGTAGAAAAGTGTCTCTAGTGCGCTTGCTCTATGGGCGTGACAATGCAGCAGATCTGAGTAATTTTATATCAGAGGTTAAACCTTTTTGGCTTTGTTTACCACTAAGCAACTTTTATAGGAATAAAAAGGGCCCCACCTCCAACTCTGTGTCCAGTTCTATTTATAAATCCTAGCCTTACAGGGTACAACCACCTAAATTAATAATTCCAATATGTTATTTCTACAGCCTAGGGAAGTTCAATTAATATTTGTGAACGTGAGCTACTCTGTCAAAGCCAGTGAGTGGGAGACTGATTTTGTGACCCCACACAATTTTATTTTCTTCTTTATACCCAAATGAGCTTCATTCTATTGTAGTGTTCTCAGCTCTGAAACAGAAAATGTACTCAAATACTCAGATCATTCCCCTGGGTGCTCTCAGTGTCATCTAAAACATCTTTTACCATTCATTGTTAATGGAGCAGCTCCAGACTTGACATCACTAATTTGAGATTTGGCACTCTAATTTTTAGATTTGGGAGAGATGTTCAATAATATTTCTTGGACTAAATTATAACATGGGAATGACATGTTTGAATTTGGAAAATATGCGTAGTTGCCTTTTAAATGCTTGGCAGCCAATAGTAGCAAAACATTAAAAAGTCAGCATGTTTTTTTTTCCCCCACAAGTTGTTAGAATCTCAATTGTTGATTTCTCACAGTAACTGCTAATCCAAGCTTCAATACATCTCTTCATTAGTGATGTCACAGACACAGTCTTCTTGTTTCATACCTGTGCCAGTGCCTGTATGCTGTTGTTAATGTCACCGCTAGCCACCTGAGAGATGACAAAGTTGATGGTGGAGGCCGTGTTGTTGTGAAGGTCATCAAAGTGTGGAGAGACAGACCGCATCCTTTGAACACAAAACACAAGCAATGCTAATGACTAAAAAATATTATTCCTGTTTTTAATGCTTTACTTTCTACCAAAGCTGCCTCTGTGCTTCAGCATCTTTTAGATTTTGTTAGTCAGGTGGTGTTTCATAGTGTGTTTACTTTGGTTCAGGGATCATGATGGGCTCCAGCAGCTCATCCAGTTTGTGTTGGACGAGGTCGGGCAGCTCACACACTCTGCTCTGGTCCATTTCGATCATGTCCAGGTCCAACTGGAACTCCTTGGGGATGGACGGGTGAGAGGACTCGCTGTGCTGGGCGTTCTGACGGGCTTGGCTGCGTGGATGGAGGAGGGGTTTGAAGGGGGGAGAGGACAGGACAGTATATACATTTAGTCCAGTGTATTATCGATCAGTGCCTTTTAGCTCCAGTCCTGACTGACACAAGCTTTTACTAATACTGTTTTGAGAATCTGACAGTATGTTGATGTATCCATTGGTCCTCAGTCCAATGTGAATGTGCAAGAAGGTCAGTAATAGCAGGATAAAATGTTTAACTTCCAAACAGTGACTTCATATGGCATAAACACTTTTTATAAACAATCAACTATATTTTTAATAAGCACAATTTCCCCTTTTTGGCTCCAAAAACATCATATACAATTCTGAGTTTAAAACAACTTTAAAATAGTCAAACATTTAAATGAGAGGATATGTTTTGTGGGTTTACCATCCCTACTTTGAGTCTAATGAAGATCTGTTTGGTAGAATATTGAAGTGTGTGATTAGCCTGATCTTGTCCAAATAATAGATGTACTGCCAGAACTAGAGCTCAACAGCACTGATCTAAAACCAACATGAAGCATTTGTATCCTTTAGAAAGGAGGGGAAAACATACAGAAAGCTAGCTTTACAAGTGGAATTAAAATACATTTTTAAAGCAATGATTGTCGACCACATTAATGATGGCAACTGTTGCTACTTCTCTTGCCTCACCTGTAGTTATTTAACAACTGGCAAAACAAATTTCACAAGACTGAACATAAATTTTATGAGCTTTTTTGAGTTTATAAATTACACACAGCTAAAACAGCAGCATGATTGAAGCCCACCCGTTCAGGTATCATTGAAAAAAAGCTGTTGGCTACAAATGCCTTTACCAAGTAGAAAAAGGAAATGCACTGCTTCATCACCAGTTTTTATCGTGTCTCCTCCAAACACTCCGCAAAAATGGGTAGGAGCTGCCCATTTTGCTTTTGGTAGCCTTTCCATTCATAGCCAATACAGAAGTTTGAATCTGCACCTCAGGCCATGGAATATGCAGCTTGCCAGCTGCCCTCTTCTCATGTAAATCCATGCCTCTTGTGACCAGGGTAGAGCCCTGCAGGCCTCCCCATGGCTGGCACTGCTAGCTGTCATCCCTCATCCTTCATCATCATTCCCAACAGTGAGCTGAAATGAACTGCTGGCAGGCAATCGTCAAATCCCTCAGGCAATGGAGTCTTGCCCTTGCTTGCACCTGGTGCGGTTGAGTGGTCATACTCCATCTGGGCTGCCGCTGATGCAAACAACAGGTCCCAGATGCTGATGCTAGCCTGGTCCAACAGCTGGTGATGGAGGCTCTTGAGAAGGAAGCAGCTACAGTTCTCAAACGCTGGGTGAATTCAGCACTGCCTGAGAGTGCTGCACTCTGAGACAGGCTGAGCACACTGAGTAAGTATCCATAGCCGGTATCTTAGCCCTGCAGATAATCCTGTGGGGGGGTAGGGGAGGTTTCTGCCAGCATAGGTATAAGTGAGGGTGCAGCTGGTGTGCTATCAGCCAGTATGTTGGGCTTCTACAGCACCATGGTGAGCAAGTCTTTGTAAAACCTGACCCGAGCAGATGTTAGCAAGCAAGCTGCTAGTGTGGAGGCTAGCTGGTTGCAATTTCTAAGATGAAAGCAGGCTTAGCTAATGCTAATGCTAATGAGATGGCAAGCTAGAATAAGGTGCATAATGTTACTATTTGGCAACAGATTAACAGGTGAGCTACAGTTAGCTGTTTGGGGGCAGTACAGTAGCAAATTTTCTCCTTGAAACCCTCAATTTCTATGCCCAAGAAATCTGAATTCTGACATGGAATAATTAGCATCTGTCAATAGAGTGCTTAGCTCAGTCTGTGGACAGTTAAGCTAATAGCCCAGTTAGCAGCTTTCTGAGTTTAAGGGGAAAATACAGAGGAGGATGTTCCTCCTCTTAATGCAGTTACCGAGACTACCAGTCAGTGGGGCTGGCGTAATGGTACTGGACTTTTGAGGACTACACAGAGGGCTGTACCCAGGCCCCTAGGCAGTGCACCTGACTATGAAGATAATTTTTCAAGTGATAAAAACAGTAAAATTTCAACTTCTGAGTCCATCTCATGATACCATGGGACCAAAAAAAGACCTTTACCCATAGACTTATGTTGTGATAGAGACATTTGTAAATCAGTGGATAGATTTTTTTTTCTTGAGCATCACAAAGTCTAAAAGAACCACACGATTAAATAATTTTACAGCACAAAGTGTCTTTATATTTGTGGCTGGCAAAATTTGTGTAAGACCAAGCAGAGGACAGTTTGTCTCATTTCCAGGTACAGTAAACACTAAATACATAGGATGAAGGGGTGATGGGGAAAGATAAATGAAGCACGTTTAAAAGTGACATCAGGACATTTTGAACTTTAGTCTTGTGCTTAACCTACCATGTGACAGTGGGCAGCAAGGACAGACCCTTATTCCCTGCCGTGTGAAGAAGCACGACTAAAACTCAAATGTCACAACACACTTTTCTGTCCATTAGTCTTATGAATGATGAGGTTTAGACTGCATTCAGAGAGGAGTTCTTACAATGACAAGACGTAGAAAAGAGGGGCGAGGAGGAAGAGGTACTCACATCCTATACGTGCGATACATTATTCTGCTCCAGAACGGAAGGAAGGCAGAGCAGAGAAAGGAGGAAATCACACAGGAAGAAAGATGAAGGGTTAAGAGACACGCAGGCAGAGGACAGGCAGCCAGCCCAGCAGCCAGCCAAGACACACACACACACACACACACACACACTGAGGTTGGTTTCACAGACAAAGTGGATAGGATCTGATGTGCCAATTTTCCTTTAAAATAAAATAAGTGTCTGTGAGAGCAACCCAACATGCAATGACTCAGTAAAACACAACAAGAAGAGAAGGACAGATTAGTTGTGAGCAGAAGACAAACATTCAGAAGAATTATAGCATGAATCTAACTACAGTCACCGGTCACCGACATGTACAAGTCTGTTATGGAACTGACAGATTAAAGATGGGGTTTGTTGATAGAATGGATAAACATGCTTATGAAAACAGCTGGAAAAGTTTGGATTTAGTACATTCAAGATGTTGCCTGTCCCACTACAGGACTTTTTGTTCAAGTAAGTTAACTGCATTTATTTGTAAGCATGCTACAGTCTTCCACCTGTTAAAGAATCATTTAAGTGTTATTTACTGACGTTACTTTTGTAAAACAGTTATTGGTGTGTGTGTGTGTGTGTGTGTGTGTGTGTGTGTGTGTCTTACAGTAGTGTTGTTTGTTAAAAATTAGCGATTCATAATTTTTGAAATGGTTTCGATCCTCATTTTCTGCAGTATCATTACACTGGTACCAGCTGTGCTTTCTTCTCTCTTATTGTTAATGTTTACTACAGTCATTCTGCTGTTCTCAGCTGCTAACCCAGGGAAACAAAGAAATCTTCATTACAAAAAATAATAGCTATTTTATAGTCATTCAGTCCCTAATTCGACTACCTTTGAGGGGGCACAAATTTGATCATACCAGTCTATAAAATAACCTTATTTTATATGGAAAACATCTAAAACTATAACTGCTCCAACAGCATTTCTTTAACTATACATGTATAATCATAATTCTCTCTCTTTCATCCATTTTATATTGCTGAGAAAACTTCAACAATTCTCCTTCAAACAACTGTATTTATTGTTTAGTTTCTCACTAAAAAGTCTGTTTTACAAGATTAAATTATCATATTAACGTTATAATTTACTTTCACATACTCATTTTTTACCGAATAGAGCTTGAAAGCATCACAGTGTAACTCAGTGCAACCTTTGTTAGCAGTTAGTTTTGGCCACCGGCTGGTAACAACAAATGTTAACTAGCTCTCCTCCTGCCAATATCGACATGGATTTGTTGTTCATACTGTTCATAATACGGTGTGTCCCCTGATGCATCAATATGTGAGTTTACTGCTTCCTTTCATCCCAAGGGCGTCCCAGGGGAAAACTTATTGTCACCGGGGTGACGGGACAACATAAGTCTCGAGCCCTGCTTTCTTAGCCTGTGCAAAACCGATGTGACAACAGAAAAAAGTTGGTGAATGTTATCTTATTAATGGAAATATCAGTGATTTTATGGCAAGGAAGTAACTGTTTAGCATCAAAACACTAAGACATATTTTAAGATTTATTTATCTAATACTGTCATCCCAGCTCAGGAGAACCAGAGAGCTAACTTTAGACAGCTAATTCTATCAAACAAACTGCCTTCATTTGCTACGAAAACTGATGGCAACGTGCCCACTAAGATATTTGTTTTCACTTTGAAAAAGTCTTTGTATTGATCAAAGCCTAATTATGCCCAGTGTGATTAAATATACACTATAATGAATGAATGTTATTTATCTATTGAGAATTTAGCTGCCATATTTTTAGTCATGCTCTTTGGAAATGAACATGTCACTCGTACACAGAATTTTTGCTCCTCAATATTAAAGATTTTGTGGTGTGTAAGAATAACTGGCTTTCTTACTGGTTTTCACTCAGCTAACATTCACACACGCCACAGCCCTGAGTTTTGAGGTGACCTACTTGAGTTTGTTGGGGTCTTCCTGTGCAGGCTTGCGGAGGAAGGTGGCATTAGGGTTAGTAGGGTGCTCTCTCTGAGACCTCTCGGTCGCAGTCGGTTTGGGAGGAGCTGCAGCCGTCTTCTTGGCTGAACGCTTGATTCTCTCCTCCAGCATGCTCATGTCTTTCTCCGACAACTGGAAAAGATGGGGAAAAGAATAATGTAAAACTGTATGGAGTGGGTTTCAAGGTTGAATCACTTGACACCCTACAATGTGTGACAATGGTCTCATCTCTATCTTACATTTCCTATTAGTTTGTAGACCTGGTCCCCACAGACATTGTAGACAGCCACGACAGTGTTCAGGGCAGCATTGCGGACAGATGTGTCTCTGTCACCGATGTGAACAGCAATCTCCTTCAGAGACTTGGCTGGAGTCGGCTGGCATACATTCATCCCATAACCCTCTATCAAACAACCCAGCTCCTCCAGACATTCTGAGGACAAGAGGAAACCACAGACACAATGTTGTTAGAAAACTTTTTCACCATTAAATTGGCCACCAAGTATAACAATGGTATTGAATCAGGAGATAAGCATATCGTCTCAGCCTGAACAGAGACACAAGGAAAAGGAGTGCCCTTGGAGGGAAGTGAGAAAAGCCATAAGACTACATGATAAGTTCTGAAAGTTCATTATCTATTTGTTACTTGTGCAAGCTGTTTTGTTGGTTTGCCTGTTAGCAAAAGGCTTCTTATCGATTCATCTGTCGATTATTTTCTCAATCGTTGTTTGGTCTATAAAAATGTCAGAAAATGGTGAAAAATGTTGATCAGTTTTTCCCAAAGCGAAAGACAACATCCCCAAATTTCTTGTTTTTGTGCCTACTCCAAAATTATTCAGTTCCTCGTCATAAAGAGGTAAAGAAACCAGAAAATATTCAAAATTTAAGTAGCTGGAATCAGAGAATTTTGACATTTTTTTCCCTTTAAAAAAAAAAAAAAAAAAAAAAAAAAAAAAGAAAAGAAAAGAAAAGGGGGAGAAAATTAATGTAGAACAGAATAGGTTTGGACAGAGATTGGTGCAGCTTATGACAGGTAGCTCTCTGTCTGTAGAGACCTACCAGCTCTCTGTTTGGAGTTCTTGGACTTAGTTCCATCCATAAGGAAAGGGAAGACCTTGGATGCTGGGTAAACCTTACACAGCATGGCCAGTATTGCCCGAACATCTTTGCGGACCACATCCTTTGACTCTCCGACCTAAAGTAGGGAAGAAACTGTGAGCAAACAAAGCTTTACAGTGGCTCTTGTCATTCTGACCGTGATGTGCACTCACCTTGAGTATGAGGTAGGGGACAAAGGAGTTGGCCTCGTACTCAGTCAGGTGGTAGTCCTCTCTGTTCAGCATGGCAAACAGCAGCTTAAGATACTCCAGCACCTTCATCAGGACTGTGGTGTTGGTGTCAAAGAAGCGGAGGGTGAACCACTTCAGAATCAGGTCCAGACAGCTGATGGTGGCGTCGCTCTCACTTTCCAACCTCTGTCAAACACAAACACACATGCAGGCTTTACTACCAAAACTAGCCTGCTCCTAGTACACAATCTGTAGGTTTAGACCAACCACTACCTCAATCATGACTCCTATAGCCTTGACGTGTCTCTGAAAGTCAAAGTGAAAGAGCTCATCCTGCAGCCACTTCGCAAAGCAGGTGGACATCTGAGTTTTCAGCTGCTCAACATATTCATCTCGAGGAGTGATGAAGTTCCATTTCAAGATCTACAAAAGAAACATTTTGAGTTAAACTGAAATCAACAGTATGTCTGGGGAGTTTTGTGTAGGTAAGGCAGTGTAAAAGGGGCTAATAAGTAAACAAATGAAGTCTCCTCCAGCTTCAGTTAACCTCTCACAGATACAGTGTGTAACTGTTGCTGCACTGAGCTACTTGGATCATGACATGTTTTCCAGCTGGTCTCATACCTTCAGTTGCTTCTCCTCTTTGATCCTCTGTTCCTTAGCATTGGGGATGAGAATGAAGATTGGCCCGGACCTGTCTTCATCATCCTTCACACCTTTGGCTGCAGGCTTCTTACCAGCTGCACCCTGAGAGAGGGGGGGGGCGACATCATAGTGTAAGGGAGAGTGAGTGAACCAAAAGTACTCTGTCTGTGGATGTGTACTAGCATTGTGTGTAATCATGTTTGCTTGTGGGCTTTGTGTGTGTGATTTAGATTATATGTAGTGGGTGTGTAGAGTTGACAGTAGAAACAGGAGACAAAGGAGTGTTATGCTGAAAAGATCTCAGTGCAGGTTAACACGTAAACAGTGTAGGATCACTGATATAATTCCAAAATCTGAAACACACACATTCAGAAACACAAATTCATGCAGTGGAGTGACCGAAAACCTCAAAGTGACACATGACCTCTCTCCCTTTATTTCTGTGAGCATGCATGTACTGCACTTTTTGATTTCTCTAATGTCAGCTCGTTATTACAGGTTAAAGATTAAAACAAATTCACAGATCTCATTTCACCTGACAACTGTATGTCCATGTGCATTTGAGGATACAGTTGTATATTTAGTGGCAGTATTAGTGATTAGAGAGACACAGGATTAGACTGAGCCAAGACCCGACTGGGTCAGGGCAGAGAGAAGCTGGACAGGGGTTAACATCTGTCAAGCTTAAAAAAAGTGTCCACTGAGAAACTCCGTCCACGTCTGCTACTCACTTACTCTAGAGCTTTAAAAAGTAGCAGCGTGTAGATGAAGTGTAAAAAAACAAACTGGACTGAGTTTCATCACAAGGACACCTGCAACACATCTACCTGTTGACTGCTAGCTGCAGCCTTTCCTTTGCCTGCAGGCTTTTTACTAGCATTACTGTCCTTGTCCTTGGAGGAAGGGGGAGGGACGGGTTCCTCGGGAGGGGAGGGAGGCTGGGTGAGTAGAGAAACCACATCATGTTTACACTTCATGTTCATGAAATGACAACTAAAAAAACAAAACAAAAAAGCAAATGGTGTGCATAGTCAAAAAAGGAAATAATGTCAAATGCTTGATATGCACAACCACTAACAGGAGTGATGGACGTGTAGATAAGGTACAGATCCTCTCTTAAGTGTCTAAAAATTTAAAACCATACACATGGTGGGGTTACATCGGTTATGTTTCTCTCCATTCATTATTGAAATAAATGGGGAGTAGAATCCGCCCTGATCGCACCATAAATCCAATTCTAATTAGGCAAGACAGCCATCAAAATATCTATTAGGCAGTAGAAAGAATAACAAAATATCAAATGTCTCTGCACACTGAAATCAAAAACAGAAGTTGGTCCAAACGACGTACCTTCTTTCCGGCTGCTCCTCCTCGGACCTTCTTAGCTTCAGGTTTACTGTCAACAAAGTCCTCAACAGCTGGCTGCCTGGAGGCTGCAGAGGAAAGGCATACTCAGCTCTCAATCACCCATTGCAGACACAAACTCACACACTGAGCTTCCAATCAAGGCACTGGCTATTTTAACAGGAGCAATGTGGGGTTCAGAGTCTTGCCTAAGGACATTTCAACAAGTGAATGGGAGGTGCAATGGATTCAACCCTGATATTCTTAGGTGACCCGCTCTACACTGAGGACAAGAGGCAGCTTTCAGGCCGGAAAAACGAAGCCAACTCTTAAGTGCCCAAACCTGCAGTTCTTTGAAAAGCCACTTGAAGCTGGTTTCGGAAGCGAGTCAACCACCCTTGACCCCCATGTTAAAACACCCAACTTTACAGCAGGAATAAACATGTTTACAGCCTAGTACAAAAAATGGTTTGTGTCTCTAAAGCCAACTTCCCTTTTTATGAAAACTGTACAAGGCGTGATTATTTTTTTAAATAACTCACCTATTTACAATTTAGTAACGCTTAAAATAACCCATTATTAAGGGCAAGGCTGGTCTGCTGTCTGCCGGTAGTGTCCTCGGCTTATCAGTCAAAGTCACCCCTCGCCCAAATATGGTCACTTCTGGCTCCAAAAAAACACAAGATGGCGATGGCCAAGATGGTGAACTCGAGACTTATCTCACTCAATTAATTATACAGTGAAGCTGATACCCAGCTACTTTGTTGGTGCTGCTAACTTGAGTGCGTGAGTGAGTAAGTAAGAAATAACTGGTCAAACCTGGACTGACCAGTTTTTTGCAAAAATTGAATTTCTAGCTCTTTTGGGACATTGGTCTCTTAATTATTGGGAACCCTCCAATGCTAGCAAACAAACTTTTACCTACCCGCAGCCTAAAATCTTTAATGGCAATTGTCAATAGCCAGAACAGTCCGAAGAGTCTGACGGTCCGTTTTACTGTCTCTTATATGCACACTGTGAACGCTGGAGTTAGGGCTGTGCAGTATACCGAGTCGTACCGAAAACCGGTATTCATTTTCATTATGATATGAATTGTTCATATACCGCAATACTGGTGAATAGCCCAAACAACGTCCGGAATGTGCATGGTGGGAAAGTGTTTCAGCGGGGACCCATTTCACCGCTGCACACCACAAGCGAGCTAGAGCCGGCGAGAGTGAGAGCATAGGGCAAAGTTTAGAGGCGAGAATGGCTGCCGGAGAGAGTTCTGAAAGCGAAGCAACTGTACGTGTTGCTGAAGAACATGATGACCCAGAAGAACTCACACCAAAAAGAGCAGTGTTTCCCCTATATGCAACTGAAATATGACTGCCGCTGCTAATTTATTTATTTTTTCCCCGTCTTAGCTCTTTAGAAACTACCGTTATATTATTTGGCGCTACGGACGCTTCATATCCAGGCCTAGAACAGGTCTATACCTTGTCCTTTCAGTAAACAAAATAAACAGCCTTATGTTATTTATCTTGTTTACATGACGGCATGTCATTTCTGTCTCTACATGGTCGCATTTACAATTCTCCTCCGCTCTCTGTATCACGCAGAGAGCCCTGACGTGCGCGCACAGACACTTTCACTTTCACACACACACACACTCTCTCTCTCTCTCTCTCTCTCACACACGCGCTCTCACACACACACACACACACACTAGAGCGTGGCTTGGGCCGCATTTTCCTGACCGAAGCCGAACCGAGTCCAAGACATTAATAACCGAGCATGGTACTAATGGAGCGAAGCCTGTGTTGTCACGTAAATAACAAATTCCAGCACTTGAATAGGCCATAGCACAACATAGCAGCATGTCAAGTGGGCCGAGCCCAAGCAAAATACCGTCAAATACCGTGAAACCGATATGATATATATTTTTTTTAAAAAAAAAAAAAAAAAAAAAAAAAAAAGCCTGATATGAAAATTTTGTCATACCGCCCAGCCCTAGCTCAAGTCATGGCTTGACAATCAGTCCGCACAGTATGAGCACATACATCATGAGGTCAGATAAAACGATGGGTTTACGTCGAAGTTTAGCAATTACAGTTATTCTATCAAATGAAAACTGGATCCAAAATTTCATCAGCTATTGCACCCAACCCTACTTTACATCACATGTATAACTACCATAAAGTAGCACAGATATGGTTAAACACTGAGAATCGGTCTTGATAAGAGACTGTGATCGTTAACAACCAGTCTTAAAGTCATTCATTGTGATGTCATACAAACCTGAAGCAGCTCTGCCCTGCTCTGCAGAGCCTTTTCCCCCTCCAGCTTTAGCAGGAGCAGCAGGTTTAGCCGGCATCACTGCTCTGGCCTTTTCCAACATGGCTAACACCTGATCCTTAGATGCAGACTGCAGGGAGATGAGGAGAGAGACGGTCATTACTGTAGACAGTACAGCTATGAATCACTGGGGTCAAGCATTGAAAATGTCTATTCAAATGTGTGTCCACAGCACAATTTATTGGTTCAGTACTTTGAGTTTCCCAGTAGCCTTTTCCATCTTGTCATAGCCCAGGTGCATCATGAAGGTAGGCAGGGCATCCTGAGCTTTCTTCCTCACATCTCCATTTCTGTCCTCCAGGCAGGCGTAGAGCTGAGGGACACACAGCATCAGGTCCCCAGGTACTGTCCTCAGGGTGGGCAGCTTCTCCGCTAACCAGCTGAGCACCTGAGTGATGGAGATGGCAAAACATGAGTCTATGACATGGATGCTACAACAAACATTTCTTTTCCTATTCTAAATAAGCCAAATAAAGGACTTTCTTTCACAAACAAGACAGTAAATGTATGTGCTTCTGTGTACCTCCTGTCGAAGGAAGGGATTCTCTCTTTTCAGCTCCTCTGACAGGTCTTCTCCTTCCAGCCACTCCTTCATCCCAGTCTGCTCCACCCAGGCCTGCAGAGTGGTCATGGCAGCTGCCCTGACATTTGGCTGCAGAGGAACAGAGAGACATGTCCATCATCAGCACACAGTCAGGGACATGACACCGTCCCCAGAGTGACACGTTTTCATATTCTCCTCTGATTTACTTTACTATTTTCACCACATACAGTCTGTACATTTCCAAAATGCATTTAACAATAGTAATTACACATTTCCATTTATTTGTTCTGCATTAGTACACTCTGCCTGTGTTGTACATTTCTCATTTTGAAGTATAAAATTGTAAACTGCTAATCTAATGTTGTATGTTATACCTAATGCCCCAACACTTTGTTTTTCACCCGTTGATACTCCAGTTTGTTTTGTTTTGTAGATCTCAGACTTTGTTTCTGCAAAAACTATTTTTTTTCCTTGTAACTTCATAAAATGTATGATGCTAAGTATTAATGTTGCAAAATCAACAAAAAAAAGGTGTTTGTTGTGCTGTAAGGGCTCATTTCAGTCCATCTCAATGTAAATGCTACACCGTCATAGCTGCTGAATGTGGAAACACAGGTGTGTCTGACTTGAGTGTGTGTGCCCAGTACCTTGCTGTCTCCCAGTACAGTAATAACAGGAATTCCCAGTGCTTTAATGTGCTGCTTGAGTCCAGGTCCCATGGCTGTAGCCAGCTGCTGCAGGATAGTCAGGGTCTGCTGGACCTGGAGACCACAAACATAAGTCATTTTAACTTACGTTTTTATCCTGTTACTGTGAAAAGGACATCTTAAATCCTTTAACTTAAAACATCAAGATCATTTTGGCCCTGCTCCCATTTAGACTAATGAATTCAGAGCACTGATATCCTGCTTTCAATTATCCAATCAATATCACATCATACACCTTCACAAGAAAAAAAAAAAAAAAATCTGGCCAATTTCTTTGTTCTCTAAATGTAAAATTTAGGGGTAACCATATAGCTTTTTTAGGTAGAGCAAAATCCTCAATATGCAGCTGTGTATTACATAGCAAAAATTAAATATGACCAATACAGATGATTTAAGATCCAAATGCAAAGTCATAGCTCTCTCCACTACTCCTCTCATATTTATGCCCAAACTGAAGGCCAACTACTGCAACATTAACAAAAAAGGACACATGAGCAGCCAGTTACTTTATTGTTCAGATAGTTTTTCTTCAGATATTTAGTGCAGAATGAATCTTTTCCAAATGGCTTGGATATTTTCACAGGAATCTAAGTATAAGGTCTCACTCAGTTGTAGTGGACTCATCCAGAAACAGCCAATTAATGGGGAAACCAACTGAGACTTCAAATTAACTACATGTGGAAAATGGTAGTAAAAGGAAAGTAATCTAATTAGTCTCAATCAAATGAAACAAGTGACAATATGTTAAATGAACATCTATTATTTATACTGTCTACATATACAGGTGCTGGTCATATAATTAGAATATCATCAAAAAATTGATTTATTTCAGTAATTCCATTCAAAAAGTGAAACTTGTATATTATATTCATTCATTACACACAGACTGATATATTTCAAATGTTTTTTTCTTTTAATTTTGATGATTATAACTGACAACTAATGAAAATCCCAAATTCAGTATCTCAGAAAATTAGAATATTACTGAAGACCAATACAAAAAAAGGATTTTTAGAAATGTTGGCCAACTGAAAAGTATGAACATGAAAAGTATGAGCATGTACAGCACTCAATACTTAGTTGGGGCTCCTTTTGCCTGAATTACTGCAGCAATGCGGCGTGGCATGGAGTCGATCAGTCTGTGGCACTGCTCAGGTGGTATGAGAGCCCAGGTTGCTCTGATAGTGGCCTTCAGCTCTTCTGCATTGTTGGGTCTGGCGTGTCGCATCTTCCTCTTCACAATACCCCATAGATTTTCTATGGGGTTAAGGTCAGGCGAGTTTGCTGGCCAATCAAGAACAGGGATACCATGGTCCTTAAACCAGGTACTGGTAGCTTTGGCACTGTGTGCAGGTGCCAAGTCCTGTTGGAAAATGAAATCTGCATCTCCATAAAGTTGGTCAGCAGCAGGAAGCATGAAGTGCTCTAAAACTTCCTGGTAGACGGCTGCATTGACCTTGGACCTCAGAAAACACAGTGGACCAACACCAGCAGATGACATGGCACCCCAAACCATCACTGACTGTGGAAATTTTACACTGGACCTCAAGCAACGTGGATTCTGTGCCTCTCCTCTCTTCCTCCAGACTCTGGGACCTTGATTTCCAAAGGAAATGCAAAATTTACTTTCATCAGAGAACATAACTTTGGACCACTCAGCAGCAGTCCAGTCCTTTTTGTCTTTAGCCCAGGCAAGACGCTTCTGACGCTGTCTCTTGTTCAAGAGTGGCTTGACACAAGGAATGCGACAGCTGAAACCCATGTCTTGCATACGTCGGTGCGTGGTGGTTCTTGAAGCACTGACTCCAGCTGCAGTCCATTCTTTGTGAATGTCCCCCACATTTTTGAATGGGTTTTGTTTCACAATCCTCTCCAGGGTGCGGTTATCCCTATTGCTTGTACACTTTTTTCTACCACATCTTTTCCTTCCCTTCGCCTCTCTATTAATGTGCTTGGACACAGAGCTCTGTGAACAGCCAGCCTCTTTAGCAATGACCTTTTGTGTCTTGCCCTCCTTGTGCAAGGTGTCAATGGTCGTCTTTTGGACAACTGTCAAGTCAGCAGTCTTCCCCATGATTGTGTAGCCTACAGAACTAGACTGAGAGACCATTTAAAGGCCTTTGCAGGTGTTTTGAGTTAATTAGCTGATTAGAGTGTGGCACCAGGTGTCTTCAATATTGCACCTTTTCACAATATTCTAATTTTCTGAGATACTGAATTTTGGGTTTTCATTAGTTGTCAGTTATAATCATCAAAATTAAAAGAAATAAACACTTGAAATATATCAGTCTGTGTGGAATGAATGTATACATTATACAAGTTTCACTTTTTGAATGGAATTACTGAAATAAATCAACTTTTTCATGATATTCTAATTATATGACCAGCACCTGTATGTAGTCTTATGCTAAAACAAAGCTGTGCTGGATTAGGGGCAGGAATCACTAGAGGACCAGCAATGCGATGCAAATTATTTCCCTGAAGGAAACTTTGTCGACATCGATTTTACCTCATAAGATAAAGTTTTCAGTCTGTTCATCTGACTTTAATCGTTTTATTGCAGCAAAATATGATGCAAAGCAGACAGATGGTGAAGAACACCATCATGAAACCTGTCAGATATGCTGCATACACCTGACAAACTTAACTGTTGGCAGATTTAACACCCTCTGCAAGGCCACAATAAGCATGTGAGTAAAACACTTCCCTTCAATTCCATGTTAAAAATCCAAAATAAGTCAAGATGTTTGGTTTAAATTACTAACAGTATATTTCTGATTTCTTTCTCCAGTGCCTCCATCTGTTTTGATGAACTTGCTGCCAAATGCCACTGACTGAAACCTCTGCTGACCTCACCAGGAAAAAAACATTTGCACCATCTAGTGGACCTTAAAAGCAACTGATTTTATTATTCTAGTACCAAAAGTTGTATTAAAATGTGTATTTGCAAAAATTAATACCATATATAATAAAAGATCAATACTGGCCATTTGCAGAACAGTCACAGCCTTTACACAGCAGGACAGGTCTGCTCTCTTACTAACCAGGATCTTGTTGGAATCGCTGAGTCGTCCTTTCAGGGCCAGAGGCAGGTCTCCAATGTTGGCTGTGATGAACTTGGCATCTGAGATGATAGCGGCAGTCTCATCCAGACCCTCCTTCCTTATCTTCCAGTTCTTATCCCCAATTTTAGCCACGAGATCAGACGAGATCTTGTCACTAAAAGACGGGAGGGAAGAGAGAGAGACATGAAAGGGAGAGAAAACAAATACCATATTTCACAATCAATCACATGCCAACTGAATATTCTTGACTCAGCTTTTATTCTGAAGAATTAAGCATTTTAAAAAATACTTATGGATAATATAATATTAGAAATATTATTTTATAAATATAAGAGCAAAGGGAGGTGCTAATGTCAAGACCCTCCCCCTCACTCTCACTCATATATTCAAATATGACATTAAAGCATATGGGCTGATGTGATTTCTCAAGAGTATAGGCATCATTTAAAAAAGTAATTATTAAATACTTTAAGACATTTAGTGGCTATAAATTAAGAAACTAGAAAAAAAACATCTCATTAAAGACCTTTTAAGATGAGTCCACAGAGATCATGTTTTCAATTAAACAAAAGCTGTGTCCTACACAGTCAGCATTTGGTTACCTGATATCTGTTCTGGGCAGTAGGTCCATGATGTCCTGTCCTCCTCCATCTTCTTCCTGCTCCTCACCATCATCACCCTCCTCATCTGCCGCTGCTGCTGCTGCTTTCTTTGTGAATTTGCATGGAGCCGGTGGAGACTGGCCCTGCATCTGTGAGGAAGAGACACATACACATCGAACTTTTATTTTCCTTGTCCTGTCTCATTCCCTGCACATAACTTGTTGTCAGGGCAACCAAGTGGCAAAGAGGTCCCTTTTTTTCCTGTTTTCTTCTGTTACAAATGTAATTGAAAAATCGACCTTTTGTATTCTCTCATCCACCCAGAGAGTCCCTACCTTCTCAAACTCTGCATCTATCTGTGCGAGGAGAGCAGGCTTCTCGTCTTCAAAGAACATGCGCAGAGGAGCTCCCATGTAGAGGTACATGACTCCCAGCAGGGTGATGGCAGCCGTGCGAACAGCCGGGTTAGTTGCTCCCAGAGCTGTCTTCACATTGTTGATGAAACCCTTCACATTGATACTGGAGAGAGGAGAGGTCAAAGGTCAACAGATTCCCTTTAGGCGTCGTACCATCTTTTGTCCATCATCCTGAGCCAAAACACTTTCAAATTTTATAATTTTGTAGATAAAAATGCGCTGAATTGTTGAAACTACGAGTAAGTTATAACAATTCTAACTTAATGTTTTTAACTTATAATGAGTATTGAAATAAGGACTGTAAATTACCCAGCAAAGCCGAACTCCTTCATTGCATTAGCCAGCCAGTTGAGAGTCTCTGCCTGGTTTTTAGGGTTCTTCTGTGCAAATGCCATGGACACAACCTGACAAATAAAACACAAACTGTGTAAATACACTATATCCAACATTGTTGTTATCATCATCTGGCCCGTTAATCATTTTCAAATAAAATGTAAATTAAAGTTCTATGTTGACAACTTAAGCAAAAAAGGTTTAGTTCTCCTCCGTCCAGAGAAACGGTCTACAGACCTGTTCTGCAGTCCATGGCAGTGAGCAAGCCTCTGCAATACCAGTCAATCCCTCTTTGGCGTTTCCGCCACATTTGACATCTCCGACTTTATCCACTAAGCCGTCCAAAACCACAGAGGCTGACGTCTTTGAAAACTGTCCTCTCTGAGCTATAAGAGCCACGATGTGCAGCTTCATCTGCATCACCTATGAAAGGGAGAGACAACATTAGAATCATCAGTATCCATCCCAACAGTCTACCTACAAACAGGCTATTCTAAAGCCTCCTACAGACTGTGAGATTTAGCAGTATTTTAAGTTTAGTGCAGCTACACTGTGTGACATGGATCTAATAAACTGAATGAATGAAATGTATTGGGATTTGCTATAGTGGCATTTATGTGTGTAGACAAAGTCTGAAGAAGAGGAAGAGAAGGAGGAGGAGGACCACCGTTTTAGAGCCGCGACCAAAGATATCGGCATGTTTCTTTCATGATGGTCATCTTTTGTCCAGGACAGCCCAAAATTGCAGTGTATACCGGATGTAAGGGAAGTCATCTAGATAATATTAGACCAATCCCATGTGCCACACGCTGAGTACCAGTTACTACCATCAGGGAGGATTAGAGTACCAGAGTGTCGACTGAATAGGTTTAAAAACACTTTAATCCCCACTTGATAAAATAAATATTTTTTTTATGAATGCAGCATGAGTGGAAGCCCAACCCAAATGTCCTACAATGTGGAATTGCAAAGTGAATCTTGACACTTAAGTTTGTTAATTCCAAGTTCGAGCAGCTGCTGCCACATCTCTCCGGGAAACAGACTGTCAGTCGGCTCCGACTTCAGCTGCTGAAACAGAGATAGTTACCTGAAAGTTGGTCTCCTTCCAGCCTGGTTTCTTGGCCAACATCCTGACTAAGGCCTGGCAGGGCATCTCCGTCTTATCCATGGTCTCAACAGCCTAAAGTCATACATGAATCCATACATTAATATTCCTGCTTATTACTGTCTCATAGGTAGTGACACATCAGTATTTTGCTTCTAACAGACTTTAATGTGCAATGTAAACTTTTTAGTGTTTCACACTGAAACACTCAATATGCGTTACTTCAGCAACTGATATTTTTATGAAATGAAAAACTTTTAGTACTTTAGTACCAAGTTGGGGTGCAACTAATGATTACTTTCAGTACTGATTAATATGCAGATTATTTCCTCAATTAATCATTTTGTCTGTTAAATTTCCAAAAATAGTGAGAAATGCCTATAACAATGCTCAACAGTCCATGGCGAAGTATTATAATAGCTTATTAATTCAACCAAAAGTCCAAAACCCAAAGATATTCAATTTACTTTGATGTGACAAAGAGAAGCATCACATTCTCACTTGTGAGAAGCTAGAGACAGAACATTCAGCAGTTTTGTTTGAAAAAAAAAAAAAAATTATCAATCATCAAAAGCAGATGAATTTCCCGTCAATCTACTTCTCGATATATAGGTAGTTGCACCTCTAGAAATGAACTACAGCATATCAGTTTGTGTCCTTTGAGAACAAATGCCAGAGCATGACAGGCCCCATCATTTTTATGTAAACAGATAAAGAGATTTTACCCTCTGGAACTCCTCCATACTGGCCAGTCTCTCCTTCCAGTTGGCTGAGTCCAGCTGCTGAATACAGGAGGCAGGAAGTACAGCTGCTGCACGCTCCTCACACACCTCAGTCTGACAACATACACACAGACACATAACATTTAAGTCAGTAGAAACTCCGACAGCAAAATATTGGCTACAATGTGGAGTCACTTGACGTACCAGTAGCACGCATACAAGACGTTTAGGGTACAACATTAAATTGTAGCGTCTACTAAAAGTCTGCATGTGAGGTGTTAAGGGGACATCTGTAATCAGTTGCACAACTAAAAAAAAAAGTTATATTCTGATCAATGTTGTGAGGCACGTAAACACATATATTTGGCTAGCTTTATTTAGCCACCATGTACACAGTTATATTATAATCTCTTACCACAATGATTATATTCAGACTCAAGTATTATTGTCAATGTAACTGCAGCTGTTGTCAGAATTAAAGGGTTTGCAGATTCCCAGGGGGGCACACGCTATTACTGTACAGGTCTGGATATAAGAGGACTTTTTTTTTCGCCAAGTTTTGTTTGACAAAGTAATAGGACTGGACATCTACTTATTTACACACAACAGCAGGTGTTCTCTTTCAATGCAGGCTCTTGCATTACATCATGCTACATACACCATTCTAGGCTGACAAATTGCTTGGAGCTTGTTTATCAAGGTTCTTTCAGCCTTAGAAGTGTTAAGGAGGCCCAGTTCAACCTACAGGAGTTGCTGTAGGTTTCATATGATGTTTTGCTGCCTCAGAGGAAATAAATGTCTTGAAGGGAAAACAAGTTCAGTAGTGTTTCCCAATGTGTGTACTGCAGAAATGAACCAAGAATGAACAGTTTCATAGAATGTCATCATTAATCACTTAGACATAAGACAGAGCAAATCATTCTGGCCATCTGACATCAGTGTATGAGTATCTGGCTGAACACAATGAATAAGCTAGGATTTCTTTTTCCTTTTTTTTTTTCACAGAAGAAATGTTTATATTATGAGAACTCCCTCTCTGGACTAACATTATCTTGGGGAAACATTCCAAACAATACTAAATACTTACAAAAAACAGATGTTGGAAAGGGGGTGATGGTCATCTTTTCTTTGGGCCTATACTGAATGCACCCACAGTACTGTGACACACTTTGTCACAAAAGCTTCAACTGGAAGGTAAAAGTATGCAGACAGACTTACTGAGAGTTCACTCTCTGTGAATTCTTTACTCTCTGGGGCCTTCTTGGTTTTTCCACCAGCTGCAGATGTGGCTTTGCCTTTTTTAGATGGACCTGCTGACGGCTGCAGATAGGAGAAACAGTTCCTTCAGGTCATACTGTCCATAACTCAGCAACACTGGGGTAGAATCAGGTAACAAATTTTTTGTAGTTTTGTGTATGTGCATTGTTCAGAGAATACCTTGCTGGCAGCACCACTTTGGGTCTTCCTGGGTGGGGCAGAGGATTTGGCTGGAGCTTCAGCAGGAGGAGGAGCTTTAGCTGCTGGCTTCTTTCCCCCTGCTCCACCGCCACCACCACCACCTCCTCCTGCACCCTTCTTCCCTCCAGGGAGCTCCACTTTATCAGCAGACTCCTTTATCTGTTTACACATGTAACAATGAACAGTGGTTAGCAGTGCATTTCAACTGAAATGGGAGTCTTCTCCTCATTTGAATTCATCCATGCTGACAAGCATCATCCTCATCTCACTGATTCTTACCTTATCCAGTTTGAGTTTATCCAAATCAGACAGGAAAGGGTTCACAGCTTTCTCTCCCACCACTTTCATGGCTGTCCCTAAAGCTTCAAAGGCAGCATCACGCACCTCTGGAGCTGAGTCGTTCACTTGCTGAGATGGTTAAAGAGAGAAGTACAGGAAAGCTTTTAAAAGGTGACCCTTGAAATGTAAGCCGGGCTGGGAGTGTTATCAGCTGATTAATAGGCTATCGGCTTTTTCCTGTTCCAAACTATCTTTATTATATCGGCCTTTAAAAATCCACTATCAGTCGACCTCTAGTATTAATACATTACTTTCTACAGCCTGGCAGCAGTACTTAACTACTTTTTGTTGTATTTTATCTTAAGCACACAATATGTAATTTTCTGCCACTAAGGGTCTCTCAGTCAAAACAATAACAAACGACAGAGTAATGCTGTCATTGCAGTCAGTTTCTCCCAGTTAGGATTCCTTCAGTGTTCATTTCCAGGAGGTTTTTACCAGGAGCCAAATTATCCGCAGAGGCCTCTTCCCTTTCAAAACAAACAGACCCTGCAAGTTTAACTGGTGAAAACACTAAAGCAGTTTCACGTTAAAAATCAGTGTCTCTCCAACACTGTTTGACATGTCAGGGGCTGGGGCTGAGCCACCGCTAATGTTTGCCCAATTTGTCTCTGATTACTTAAGATCCAGACGCCAGATGACAAAAATCCTTCAAAATGACCAAGTTTTAAAAAGTGTGTCGTTAAAATGTGGCTTAAAACTGCATTAAAAGTCAATTCATGAAATCCTCTGGCAGATAACTTACACAAGTACACAACTAACAAAATATGCAACCGTTGTCAAGTTGTTTTGGATATTTCAGTGCAAAAAATGTACATATTATATCTTTAACTTTATTTCAGTGTTATACTGTGATGGCATACTAAAATAAACAACAAATCTGTTTATCATCATGTACATCATTACCAAAAGGAAAAGGTAATCATGCTGTTAAGATATTTTGACATGGGCGCTGTGTACCTTGATGAGAGCAGCACAGAAGGGTTTGAGGACGCTCTTTGGCAGCGTGGCCTGTGTACAGTGTCTGAAGGAGCGGGCCAGGAACAGAGAGGCCTGCTGCTTAATGGACGGGTTCTTATTGTCCATCACAGCCAGGATGTCCTCCGACAGGTTCTGAAGAGTGGTCTGGGAAAAAAAAAAAGAAGAAAAAGAGATGATGTCATATTAAATATGACACTGTACAAACAACAGATAAAAACAGCAATCCATCAATCTATCCAACTTAGATAAGGATGTCTTCTGAAATATGTCAGAAGTTGTTCTGGAGAGTCAGTAGAAGAGTGCTCTATAAATAACAACAGTCATTAAGTTAAGGATCAGTCCACGAGGATTTGCAGCAGCCTCGTAGATTTGTGTCAAGTCAACCGTAGAATGATTTTTTAAGGAAAAAAGGCTTACTTTAGTCAACGTTATGGGGGTATTAGGTAATGTACGACTTCTGCAAAACCAAACAGGGAACTAGGGGTACAACTAATGATTATTTTTAATATCGATTAGTCTGCCCATCATTTCCTCTATTGTTCAAGGAATAATTCAGTCGATACAATGTTAGAAAATAGTGAAAAATGGCCATCGGATAGGTCAAAAGCTCACAGTGATGTTTTTTTTAATTTAATCCGACCTACAGTCCATTCAAGTCCTACTCTTTCTCTCCCCTTATTTTCTTCCCTCAGTATCAGATACAATAAAGAAAGCAGTCAAATAGAGACTATACTTACAGTGAGGAAAATGGCGTCGATAGCCTCCTGCAGTGCTTGAACAACCTGAGGCTTCTTCTCCTTGAACTTCTCCAGAATAGTTGGAACCACCTAAAATACAAACACAAAACACACAGAGCTCTAATTTAGCAGTTATCAGTGATGCTGAAACATGAAATAACACTGTCACGTGACCACAGTTAAATGTGTGTCAAGAAAAAAAAAGCACATCTTAAATTCTCAAATAGTGTTTACATCCTGAATGTGACATTATCTATTTTTTAAGTTCAATTCATGTTATTCCCACCTACATGAATGCAGTGCTGGCAGTCTGCTTGAAGATGTAAGAAATAACTAGTCTTTTGATTTAATTGCCCAAACCATTAAAAAAAATGGATACATCACATTTAATGGCATTCAAAACTCACAAATAGAAACAAACAAAAAGTTGTTACAATGTCTGATGGCCACCGTAGCTACATATATCCAATAGCTTCACTGAAGTGAAAACACACAACTTTTCACTGAACATTTTGAGACACATAATTATGAAAAGTTAACAAAACTGCTGTCATAACATAAAGAGACTGCTTTAACTTACCTGTCCTGCATAGCTTCCAAACTTCTTCCTGAGGCCAGTGGCCAGTCCAGCCAGACACTTAGCTGCCAGCGCCACCAGCATCACATTGGCATCTTTCCCCACAACCTGAAATATACACGAGTAAGTATATGATGCAGAGTCACCAGGTCCCCATCAAACCTTATTTACGATGAGAAATTTAAGACTGCCTAACTGAAAATGTGAGATATACTTAGTCTTCACCTTCTTCAGAGCTCTGACGAGGTCTCCATAGTCCCCGTTCTCTAGTTTGGGGTTCTTTGACAGAGCCTCTACTGCTTCCAGAGCTTCTTTCCTCTCCTGCCATTTTTTAGCTTCCTGCAGAAACAGAGCACACAATTTGCTGCAATATTTCAGGTGCCATCTCACAAAAGCTTAATTACAAAAACACACTTATCATTTTCCAGTTTAAAGTATCTCAGTAGAAGAATCTGGGTTAAATAACTCACTTGGAATTTTGTCTTGGATAACTTAAAGCTGAGGTACACAGTTTTGTTCTGGTGTCAATGGGCAAAAATCCCATAATAAACCTCCTCTTGACTCTTTTCAGGATTTTGAAAATCTAGCTCATGACAAGAGACTTTGACCAGTCACAGGTCATTTCAGAGAGAGGGAATTCCTTTTGGCTGTTCTACATATGCAGCTGTTTGTGCATGTCCTTTCAGTGAAAGTCTGATTCACCACCTCACCAAGAGGAGAGTGGGCAGACGCCACGGAGCTGGACCCCCCATCAGCAGCCACAACCTCAGTCCAGTCGGCACAAATCCAAGCTCTGGGGGGCCCCTGGATCAGCAAACTTTCTGTTGCTGCCTTTACACAGGTTAGACCCAGCGCCGCCGCTGGCCTCCAGCCCACTGTGACACCCAGCACTAGGGGGTTGCTACCCACTCTCCTCCCAGCAAAGCAGACCACAGCAGCAGGAAGCGGATGGTGGGACCGAGGGGTAGCTAGCAAGCTAATTCTTGTCTCATTTGTGGTTTGATAAATAGAGAAAGAGAGAGACAGTGGAGCAAGGAGGGGCTGAGTGAATGAGGGCAACTCTACAGTGAAACAACATTAAATAAATCAGTGTATACACTGTAAACACGGGTTACTGTATGAAGCGTGTGCATATGTCTGGTCGTCTGGTGGGGGTGGGGGTTAAGGAGGAGGGTGCATTTCCAAATTCTGCAGGGTTTTTTTTTCCTCTCTTTGTTTTTTATCCCCTTTTCCATATTTCTGCCTACCCCAGCCTTATAAGGCTATCCACAACGAGGCTTGGCCAGTTAACACAGACTGTGTGTTTTTAAAAGGGGGTTTTGAATTGTCTTCTACAGAGTTAGACAAACGTACTATTTTGTCATAGAAGTCTTTGGGCATCTTGGACAGAATCTCCACAGCTTCCAGCAGTTCATATGGATCCACTGCTGTCACTGTTTCCGCCTCATCATCTCCTGAAAGAGAAACGGAAGAGGAGATAGCACCAGATGATGAGTCTACAGCTCCAAAAAACAAAAAAAGAAAAAGTTTTTATAACAGTTATTCTGTTTTGCTACCTAGTCAAACCTACCATCAGACTGGTCTCCTCCTTGTGCTTGCTGCTGTTCAAACTTTGCCTTCAGGTCCTGCTGTGAGCGCAGGAACCTAGTCTGCTTGGGAGGAGTTGTAGGCAGCTTCACCCACTCCTCCTCCAGCTCCTTCAGCTGCAGAGACAGAGAACAAGCATGGATTGTTTAGTTTAACTTGATTCTGAAAGCCGAATATGAAAGGTGGGCAAGGATGTGCAATGATGAGCGTGTCTCACCTGTACAGAGTTGATGTTTTGAAGTGGTGGTCTCAGAGCATCTCTGATCCATTTGTAGATCTCTATAGCCAGCTGCTTGACTTCATCTCTCACCGCCTTCTCTCTGGACTCAAACTGCTTGGATAAAATCTTCACTACTGGCTTCAATGTCACTATCTTAGATCCAAACTCACTGAGGAAGATGATGACAGACCAAGAGGTGACAAATGGTTAATGTCACTGACAGGAGATGGAAGACTGCCATACTAAATTGCCAATATGACTTTTTTGGCCATTAATAATCAAATTGATATTTAACAGCTCTGAACATTTCTGGTAGTAACACATATCAGTCTGCATGTTAATTTTGCTACTCTTTGTTACTCCAGTATAGTAGTAGTACTAGCACTATACTGTACCACCACAAAGCTAATAAGGTTATCATGCTGCACTGGTTAGCTAGCTGCTGCCGCTCTGTATTGTGCACCACTCCAGTCAGTGAGCTAGCTAGCATCACTGCTCAATCAGCGATTACTGCTGGTGACCCCCTCCAGACCCATGGTGCCGCTGCTATGGAAATATTGTGCCCACCATCCAGTCTCCTTTCCAGTCGTCACAGTGAGTAGCCGGCTTAATTTTGAGCCGAAAAACCCCTTTAGCATAGTTAACTACTGTTAGCTCTGTTAGCAATGTCAGCACTGCCAGCAAAGCTAACATAGTTAACAATGCTAAAGTGTTCTGTGGCTCAGTACATAGCTGCTTACTCACCCGGGCGACCTGAGAAGAGACCTGATGGTGGTCACCGAATCTCTTATACTTCACATCATTTGGCTTTTCTTCAAATTAACTGGTTAGTTATGCGTTGATGGGTGTCAGGCTATCGAAAGCAAAATTCACCGAAACTGACACACTTAGACATATGGCTGACATGTTTTTTTTCTTCAATTACAATAAACAAATGAGAATGAGAAAAACCTACGGCTAACAAATAGGCTGAGAAAATGAAAGTATAGCATTTTGTTGCACCAGGACAGAACTGTATTACTGACAAATATCTATTGCCAGTGTCCGAAATTAACTTTTAACTCCCCGGCCAAGAGGACTGGTACATCCACAAGCATAATTTTTAACCAGCCAAAATAATAAACTGCCTTTGTGTCACGTGTATATTTGTTTCAGTACATTTTATTGAGATAATAAGGTGTTTTGCTAAAAACAAACTTAAAGTAGAGACCAGAACAAAAGCTGAAGCAAAATTACTCTTATACAGCCGTGGTTCCCAATCTTTTTCCTTAAAGAACCCCTTCTCTATCATTGAGAGACTGATGAGCATTTACAGTGCAGAACAACTGACTACAATAACTGCAGGAAGTTTGTATAAAATGAGTCATTTGGATGAATTTTGAGTAGATTATTTCCTGTGACCATCAGAAGAGTTTTCCTGCTGTTTTTAGTAACTTTTAATAAAATTCTGTATCTCGTACGATACATACTTAACAGGCTTCTTTTTGACAAATTCAGTGTTTTCCTCTCCCTGACTCTTAGCCATTGTTATAGTAGTTTTAAACGTGTGCTTTTGTAATGCAGGGCGAGGCTGTTTTGCAGAGAGGGAAGGTTCTGTTAATATACCTTGGGTTCAGGTCTTCACTGTGCCTCATCCTGGTTGGTTTTTTTTAAAGTTTATATCTTCAATAATAGTACAAACTTTAAAAATAGGACACTTGTTTAGTTTTCTTTACAGAAATAAATTAATGCTGAGTTATACATCAACTATATATTTAAAAACAAAAAAAGTTTTCTTAAACCCCCAAAAAGCAAAGTCTCGTGACCCCACGTGAAGCTTTGGTGAACCCTTGCGGGGGTCAGGACCCCCAGGTTAGTCTCAGAATGTGAATAGGTTCCCTCTGGTGATCAGTGATGCAGTGTATATGGGCTTTTATGGTGAAAGGTAAGAACGAAAGAAGTGAAGCTGTGATGTGCTGTTCACAGGGAGACAATTAAGAGCCTCCATGTTATTATTTCATTACCATCATAAGTATGGGCACAACTCATAACCATTAGTTCTACCTTAGCATGGCAGCAGCTAGCAACGGGCCAACAGAAAGTGATATTTTAGCAGATCAGCTGATGTCTCATACTGACGAGAGAGGAGCAGCAGAGTATGGTGACCACAAATGAAAGCAGCACACGGTGGAGACTCAGCATAGTAATCAATTACATGACTACTGTGATAAAAAAAAACATTTACTTGCCCGTGTGGCCGACAGACTTCTGAAATTTACTTGCAAAATGGAAAATCTACTTGCATTTGGCACTTGGCTTGGTTTTTCCATTGTCCAACATCATCTTTAATCTTTTGCAGTAAAAAAATAATGACACTAAATTCAAGTCTGAATACTTCATTTAGATTCGACATTACTCTACATGAACTGTGAGACATTTGACAGATTGAGAAGAATGTTTGGAAGTCCTCAACCCCATCTGAGTTTGGTCTTGGACCAGTTGACAGAACAGGCAGACGCTTGACCATAACTGCTAATCAGATTATGGACTGACAGAGGAAATAGAGGGATTAGTTAAGAATTATAAACCAGGAAGTAGCACTAACCTGAGAGCCTTCCTGAGTGTCTCGATGCAGGCGACAACTATCTTGGGGTTCTTGTTGTCCAGTCCTTTGAGCAGCTCATCTTGAACCACTTCGCCCTTTTCTATCTCAATGTACATCAGACAGATGTCTGTGCCTAGCTCCTTAGCCCGGGCCTTTGGCTGGTTGAACACTTTGGTCACAACGCCGGACACCACCTCCCCTGTTGTCCTGTAGCAAAGGGCAATGACACAATCAAAGCCTGGCAAAACACACCAGACACACTTATGGATACAATCTTATGAACATAGCTACCTGACATGGACTTTTAAAGGCACAAAAACATGGATATACCTGGATTTAATCTGATCAAACTTATTTATAACTTATATACTATATATATACAGCTCTGACAACCAGCGATCTGCAGTACATCTGGCTCCAAACTGGACTGAATTCATTCGAGGTTGGTGGCTCAGCATGACAACAGGATTATCGCTATGTATCTCCAACAATGTAAGTTCATATTCAGTCTGATTAGGTGTGGCTGAGGCTGACTCATTGTTTGCCATAGATCTTTCTCACAATGGACCTCTTGACTAGACAAATAGTTGTAACCACCAACACAAAAGTAGCTGCATTTGATCCATGTTTACCAGTTCCATCATTAATGTCACAAGCTACAATAAAAAAAACATCTGTCATGCAAGTAAATGTTGGGTAGCGTTGTATTGTCAGTGCAGCTGGGAGCACCGTGGCCCAGTGCCCCAAGTACTATAGTTTGTCTTAGCTCAGATCCATGCTCTAGGTTTTTCTTTGTCCCTCTACTTTCCAGCATTTTCACAGCACATTCCTCTCACATCCACTCAGCTACACCTCTGACTTCAGTGATCATCACATCACATTCCTTCTTAGCAGGTTTGTTTTGAAAATAAAAAAGCTTTTTAAAAAATCCCCTGTCTCTCCCATTACTGGTTTGGTGAGACAATGGCAGTTCCTTCACACTGGGACAAACATATTGCCTCTGGTCTCAACAGATGATCGTAATACAATCGTTTCTTTTTCTGGATAATTTATTCAGTGACCAGAGAACACCTCCGAGCTCAGTCAGCTGACTGCCAAAAATGACACTGTGTCCCGAAAGCCTGCTTCGCTAGCAGAATAGCCTAACTGGAGCTGATGCATACAGTATTACCAAGATCAACTGCCAGGCCTCTCACCATACACAACAATCAGGTTGACATCAAGTTCCTCTGCTGGAAAACCCAGAGAAGGGTTCAACACAAACCTTTCTTAAAAATAAATTAAACAAGGGGAAAAATTTCCAATTAAACTTTACTCCTTTAAACTACGCGTTTCCTTGACTAAACACTGATTATAGCCTAAAGTCTACTCAAGTGGCCAACCCTGTTTTGAGCATATCTACTTGTGCAGTGGCCTGTCTGCGTCACTCTGCAATTACACCTCCAAAACATTAGTTGGCCGTGGTGTTTCTGTGCCACTGTGTTGAGTTTCTGTGAAGATGAATTAAACTATTGCACCTAAAAAAACACGTAAAACATGGCTTGATTGTAACAACATTAGGGAAAAGTACAAAATTCAGCTCCATTATAACTCTAAGCACAGCATGCTAACATAACTAGCATAAAGCTATGACACTTAGCAGTGAAGTCCTGCATGAAAAAATGCTGCCCTCTCGTAAATTTGAATATACCCATCATGGTGGCACAGTTGGGTGCTACTGCAAAACAACAAAGGGCTCAACTTTTGCTGCAATGCAACACCATCTGTCAGGGCATTGCGTTGGCTACTCAAAAGCACAGTCCTTGCAGATTACTTTGTAACATGACCGCAGTTTGTCTGCAATTTACCTCACAATCATCAAAACGAAAGATAAAATTGTTCAGTTTAGCATCATGATAAATTTCCTGAACTTTAATATTCCTGTCTGTGAGTATTACAAATACTTGTGCAGTGTTTCAGCATCTGGTAAGCCTTTAAAAGACCTGTTAATTCAACCGGACTGCATTTCATTGTCTCACTGGTGCCTTCAGCAACACGCCTCCACCAGCACAGCCTCCTGCACTGTTGTAACACAGGGCGGTTTTAAGCCCGAATCTTGCTAATTTCAGACATTTAAATAAATCTGAAGATGACATGGTTGCAACAATTACTTACTTGCCAGCTACATGGGCATTCTCAACGAAGGCCAGGGCAGCCTCAAGGCCTTTAAGCTGAGCCACAGCATTAGAATCAGTGACAAACTTCTTTATCAGTCCCAGGTATTTCCCCCACTCTGGACTCTTCTCATCTTCTATCCTCTGGAACAACTTCAAAGCTTCTTCATAACCATTCAGACGGGCTTTCCACACCTGGAGACGAGCAAGAGTCGCCAAGAAGAGGGTGAAGGACAAAAAGAAAAAGGGGTATACAAAGTTAAATAAACATCAGCTGTGATTTGTCAGCACAAAACTAGATGTACACAATTAGATTTGTCTTTCTTAAAATGGAGAAAGAGAAGCAGGACAGGACAAATGCACAAATGTCTTTCTGGTTCCTGGTGGGAAGATGGAGGTCTGTATAATGGACAGGGGATGTGACCTACATTCATAGTTTCTGTTTTAGATCATCTTCTGCATTTTCCCTTTAAGTGCACACTAGGCAAATTGTTCACTGGCTTTTATTTCAGGCTCATCGGTGAACCGGTAACATAACTGAACTGATCATTTGTTTTAGGTTTACAACATATATGACAAAGAAAAGCTTCAAAATTTGACATCTGAGAAACTACACCCCCAAATGTTCGACAGTTTTGCTTGAAAAATTACTAAAACAGTTAATCAGTTATCAAAAAAGCCGCCATTTCATTTTCTTTCAATCAAGCAATCAATTCATTAACTAAGATCTCTGACACACCAAGCTGGCGGGCAGGCAGTCAATATAGGGCTGTCAGTGAGCGCAGTTATTGTAATTTTGGGAGTGTGTCCACCACAGCTGGCACTAGTTAGCACTTCTAGGCTCTCTTTTTTCTTATTCAGCATGTTGATTCAGCATCAGAGCCAGTGTTGTGTAAAACCTCTCAGACTGGCAGTTCAGCTTAGTGCACAAGAAGAAAAAGGTAAGTAAGGAAAGCAAATAAATGACTAAAGTCAAGGAGAACTGAGCTCGAAACATATTATATTGGGTAAGACGTCTTTATTTATTTTTTTAGCTATTGAGCTCTTCAGCAGAAATGGTTAGTAACTGTGTAATGGTTTGCGTGCACCCTGTAAATGTCATGTGTTCTTTCAACGTTGAGCTGTGTTGTTAATGTGCTAACTGACAACTAGCATCTTGAATCTGTCCTGTCGGTCTTCCAGTTTCCCGTTCTGAATGACAAGTACAGACCACGGCCGCTTGCTGCCATGGCGAATAATTTCCTGTCATGCAGACGCATAACATACATACAAGGAGGCTGTTGGCTGTAGTCTTGGTGTGGTGAGATCAAGTGTAACTTTTTGGCTGAGACACAGGCAATGTGAGGCAATGCAACAGTCGGCCTTCATTGTCTCTAGTTCTCTGATGTAAGTTTGGTGTGTCTGGGCCTCAAATATTTCAGCTCTGATTAAAAGCTTCTTCAAGGCAGGCTTCATGATATGGCTGCTGTATTAGCCTGCATTAGTTTTAGTTAGGTGATCTAACCAAATGGAAGTAGAGCACATTTGTAAGAGCAGGATGGTACATGTGTAACAGAGTCAAACTGAGTAAACGACAGTTTGTGTGTTCATGCTAATGAGGGATTTTTTTCCAGTACAACAGCATTGAGGTGTCTAAATGTTTTTGGACAACAATAGAGCTCTAGGGCACACACGAATAAGATACCGGGCTTTGATATACAGACAGTACGTATCTAGAATATCTCCAGGCTCATCCTTTAATCATTCAAGCAGAAGTTCAGATGCTACTGGACTATATACAGCGGCCTAACAGGGAGCCAGTTAGGAGTCCATTTGATGAGAATTCATTGTTTAAGACCGAGTTTGGGAAAAGGCAAAACCAAGCACTTTAAATAACCAAAGAATCATATGGCACTGCGTTGTCTCCAGATTAGATGCTTACAGTATATTAGATTAAGACTGATGTCATGCTGGATTGGTTTGCTCATAAGACTTGGATTAGATTTGTGTAGTAGTTTAATCCCAAATTTTAAGCCTTTCTGGGATAAGGATCCAAATAAACACAGTAAGCAAGTCTGTAAGAGATTATCAGTCGGAAACTGTGCAAGAGCTAGTTTAACAGTGAACCTGAGAAATGAATTTATTTTTACTTTAACGTACGATAAAAGAATAGTTTGGGTGAAGATAAGCTACAGTCAACACCAGCTGACGAGTAGGAACCAAAAGTAAACATTACATATCAGAAAGTATATAGGATGGATGAAATATAACAAACAACTGTTGTCATTACTTGACTTAAAAGAAATATTTTCTAAATGAGTGAATGAAATTGAGTTTCACTGAGAACAAACATTGGTCAGTGAATCACTCACCTTGTGTTCACATTTCTGGTCGATGGGAAGCTTCATCCATTCGCTATCGTCCCCCATGGTGGCCACTCGGGGGTGGGCTTCCCCAAAGGTACTCAACTGGAAAACAGCAGCATTGACACAAAATTACATTTGGTGCAATCGTCCGTGGTTTACTGCTGGGGAATAAGTGAACCCTAAAATGTGTCACATCTTGGTGTCGGTAGAGCACCACCCGAAAACAAAAACCCAGATTTTATGAGAAACATCGTCCTTTCAGCTGAAGCCGTCTCACTCACACCTCAGCTTGGGACATTTAACAACACCAGAACTGCTCATGAGCAATTACACTTTAATAATTATGACTGTTGTGTCAAGATAAACACAAAATCAAAACAGTCGCCCTACATTCACTGCAATTTCCTAATTGGTAGTATCAACCTTTTTTTTTTTAGTTTGATGTCCTCAAGTCCATTTGTTTTAATTTTTCCCAAATAAGGCATTTTATACACAATCAAAACCCTAAATTTACTAGTCGCCCCCAGGAACCCTGACTGATTCCTTGTTGGCTCTTGATCAAACTAATAAAAAACTTATCCAATAATAAGTTCTACTATTGGACATCCAAAAAAAGAACCCTTAAGACTCTTGGGAGCAGGAAATGAGAAATGTAGTACTGGATAACCAGAGGCAGCATTTTTACGACTAGTCCACTCTTCCTCCACCTGTACTAGGCACTGCCTCATTCAGTGTGAGAGTGTGCACAGAGTCCATTACACCCGTGCATCATGGCTATCCATGATTTATCTTAATTTAAAAAGGTAAAGTGTGTAAGATTTAGGGAGATTTGGTAGCATCTAGCAGTGAGAATTGCAACCAGCTAAAACTTCTCCAAGCTGGAATTCCTTCTGTGTTCAAGGTTCAGGACGTTTTTTACTTGGAGCCGAATTATTCACACTTTCGCAGAAGCCTCCTTTCCATTAAAAGAAAAAAAAAAAAAAAGAAGAAAAAAAAAAAACGCTGATTCAAACCAGTAATACTGAATAAAGCAGTTTCACTTTACAAATCAGTGAACCTGGCTGCAACACTGTTGTTGAATTAAATTCAAGTACTCTTTCAAGGACTAAGTTAAAAATGTCTGATTTTCAAGGCATTCCAGTACTTAAATATCCAATTACCCAATTCAAATACTTTTAAGCATCTCAAGCACCTTTCAAGAACCCTGTGTGTCCTATGTAATGTAGATCACTGGTCTCCAAACTATCTCAAGTAAACCAAAGGGAAAGTGGAGCACAGAATTTCTACATGAGCCCAACCAATAATAGATTTTTGATGCTGACAGCCTTACTTGGGAATAATAAAAGGTTAAATTGTTGTTACTGTCTCTTCAGTCTCAAGTCCTGTAAGAGTGCTTCACCAAAGAACTGTGTAAAGTACTTTCTTCAGTTGCAGTGTCACTCACTTAAATGCACTTACTTCCACACAAGCATAAGCATGTGACTGTAAATGCACATTCAGGGAGGAGCCATGGGTTCATATTTCATATTGATCCAAGCCAGTCTAGTAAACAAGCTAAAGACATCACCCATAGCTCGGCAAAGTACTGTCAGCTTGGAGCCAGTCTGACACATAAGCAATGCAAATTTAGCAAATGTAGCCTTTAGAATAGTTTATAGGCGTACTGGTACAGTGGCATCCTTCAAAGTTCACAACACCTGCTACAAATGTATGACACAAAAACTATAGCAAACCTCTGGATGGAAAGAGCACCTAACTCCACCAAAAAAAGCAGTGCAATTTAATGTGACCTTGGTTATTCATTATGGTCGGTGCACAAAGTGACTTGATACCCTTCCAAGAGTCATCTCATCACAATTATAAGAAATACACAGTGACGATACAGTGCTTACAGGGGAACACCACCTAATTTAAGAATTCCAATGTTATTTCCATGGCCTAGGAAAGTTCAATCAATATTTGTGAACATGAGCTACTCTCTCTCAATGCCAGAAACCAGAGAAGTAAATCTCAAACTTGTGATGTCATAGGGTATAAAGTCTGGAGCCAATCAATAGCCAGTGAATGGGAGACTGATTTTGTGGACCCACACACTGTTTGTTTTCTTTTTAATACCCAAATGTGCTTTACTCTATAGTACTGTTCTTAGCTCTGAAACAGAAAATGTACCCATATACTGAGAGCATCCCTCTGTCGGCCTGCAGCATCATTGAGAACATTTTTCACCATTCAGTGTCTATGGAACAGCTCCAGATTTTTAACCTCATGACAGTGATACTCAACTTAACAGCCCGCAGGCCAAATCTGGTCATTGATAGGGTACTATATGGCCCGCTGGCCATTTTTCATCATTCACAATGAAAATAAATTGATTCACACTGGGAATTTTTTTTTAACTTTGAATGTTAATAAGGCTCCAAAGTGCATAAAAGGCATCAAAAAAGAGCTTGTCTGTCAGAAAAAAAAGAGAAAAAAAAGTGCAAGGGCAGGATACCCAAAATCCCCCAACAGAGATCTAGGTTGAACCCTAAATGTCCTTAAATCCTGGAAATGCCCCTGCTTACACCTGACCTGTGCGGGGCTGCTGTGACTGAATTTGTCTCTTGGCAAAGGTGAGCGAGGACAGCAAATGTCAAAGGGTTAAAAATTAGCCATCTGCTTTACTAATATATATTTTCCAAATCTGGCCCCTGTCATTTGCACAGTAGCCCCCAGGCAGAGCAAGTTGGAGTATCCCTGCTCTATGATATCACAAGGTTATATTTTTGGACTGTCTTAAACCATAGGAATAACATGTATGAATTTTGAAAATGGACGTAGTTCCCCTTTAAGGATAGCGCTATTGTTGCTTACATACACCATGTGAACTATAGGTGGGTTTATACAATCTTAGAAAGCTCATTAGTAATGTGAAAAGATGTCCAAGCAGGCAGATGCATTCCATTTTCATTCCGTATTGAGACAACAGTTTAACGTTAGATCAAAGTTGTAACTGTTATAATGCCTTTAGGACTCATAAATATTTAAGTTACAAGACGTCAGACAAGAATTTGCCACACATCACAAGACTGACATATTAATATATCACCCAGATGTAATCCCAGTCGTGTTTCACATGTAAGACAGGTATGACAGTATGCATGAAGGAGATAGCAGTAAACCGCCAGAATTCTTACTGGGATTTTGAACTGCATACAAGAATGAACACATGAGGACTGGAGGAGGCTAACTACCCTACATGCTCCCGGAGGCTAGACTGCACCATCAAATACAGCCAGCCATAACCAATTAGGTTAGCAACCTATTTCAAGCTGTGCTATCTAGTTAGCCATGTCAATGAATGTCACCAATGCTGTTTCCAGTTTGCCAAGGCTGGGAGTGGTCACCGTATTATCTAGCTGACGTTAGTTAGTTACAAGCTAGTCAGATGAGCGCCATTAAATAGCGAACTTAGCAACGACTGTGACAGTTGCTAGGTTAGCACGTTAACCCGCTCATTCTGGTTCAAGCCGCTACGGCAAAAAATACAAGCAGCTAACAATGGCGCCCATCATGAAGGCTGTTGACATATGTGGCAAAATGTATTAGTTTAAGCCTGTGTTAATAGCGAGACCTTATTGTTTGCTAGCGGCAGATAGCTGCCGTTAGCTGCTTAGAAACAAGGCTATGAGCTAACCCTCCACAAGCGCCAACACAGCCAGGCCTAACAACGCAGTTCACAACGACAGATGCACAAACGCAACAAGCTAGCATGCTAAGTCAGAGTAAAATACGAGTTTGGACTAAAATAAGAAATGAATTGTATATCGCTGGATACCTGTTTGCGTCTCTAGGAGACAATACGATGCTGACTGCCCAGTTGGATGGGGTTGATAATGGGATCACTACAGAAGAGTCCAGCGGAGCTTTATACAAGCAGCGCCGCCCTGAAGACAAAGCACAACTTCCGGTTTCTAAATAAAACTGTCAGCTGCAACGTTTCTCGGTTAATAGAAAGTGTATAAGTCATTCACATAAATTGTGCAGGAGTAAATATCTTAGGTAAATCTAAGTTGCGGAATACAGTGTCGTTCGTTTATGTCTTTCTGTGCAACTGAGATTTTTTTGCGCTCTTATTTTAAAAACAAATGAATACCAATTTCCGGTCCCACCACTGCTGCCTTTGTCCAACTTGTTACAGCTTTTTGAAATGTCTCCAAGGGCGGAGAGACAGAGGAGGGGCGGAGACAGGGGCACCACCCTGACTACATCCTTGTTTTGTTTAATGTGTACACTTTCACTGCATGAAGCATAAACACAGACGAGGAAACACCAGTACACCCAATACACTCCACTTAATGTTGGACTCACGTCTCATACATAACAATTTACTCCGTATAACTTATTAGCAGCTTCCTTATTTGTCACTAGACGAAGCCATTGATTGGTTGCATTTGAACTATAGACCGCCCCTAATGTAGAAACTTCCTTTTCTGATTGGACCATCATATGTATCGCTTCTCATAACGAGATATTTTGATTGGCCAGTCTGAAATTTAGCCCTCCCTGTAACTATGAAAATCTTTCTATTATTGGTTAATGTCAGGTATTGCCTTTACACATACCTGATTCGACTGGCTGACGTTTTTTAAATCCCGTTTCATGTTTATATCGTTTTATTATTCGCATATGTAATTTAAATAAATGATGTCAATGTGTAAATAAACACACAATTGTGCATAATACCACAAGTAGTCTTGAATTAGGTATTTCAACTTTTTTTTTTTTTTAAATTGTTTTGTTTTTGACTTTTTCACTTAAAAAGGACACCTTCACACTTAACATGTGGAGCCTCTCACACTCCCACACACAATGAATAAGGGTACACATTTCTCCATGAAATACTATTGTACATAGCATTCTAACTGTTTGAAAATGTAACACTTAGAGAAGAACAACCCACAACAGCATTTCATTTAATATATCTTCAGTTGTCTAACTGTAACTCTCCAACGGCTGTAAATTATAAAACAGCAACAGTCCCTTAATTACAGGAAAAAAAGGAGTTCAGTGTAGCAGCACATTAGACATGTTGGTATAATTTCAAAAACACAGGCTCTACAGATGCTTACCACTCAAGAACAGAAAGCCAACAGTCTCCACTAACATTCCAAGAGACTTTATGCAAAAGATGAGGGCCTGATGGTGCAGAGTATATTTATATATATTTGCATAAGCAAAGAAGAGCCGCATTAGAGATGACTCTGCTGTAAACATTATTATACTCATAAAAAGCTCTGCAGTAGAACAGCACTCAAATGAAAAGTGAGGACAGTACCAAAGTGAGACATTTTGAAAGCTTACATGAGCCAGATGGAGGAAATAAAAAGTGATGTAAATGGTGATTGAGCAAAAGTTTGGGATTGCTTCACAGAGAAGCACTGTAGTAATTGATATAAGAAAGACACAGCCACAATCTTGCAAGCAAACCTGCAATTAATGATTTGAGGAGTCATTTGGTGGTCCAATGATAAACCTGATTCTAATCCTCTTTGACGTTCAGGAACAACACAACTAGCATACTGAGTATTAGAGAATACTAACTATAATGTACACTGTATAACAGGCATGATGCTAGCCTACAATATAAAGTTCCTTGTCACAGCAATATTTATGGTCCTGTATAATACAGTATAATGGTACGGACTGGTATTTTAGCTGACTGACAAATCTAAATGGCAGCCACAGTAGCATACTTATTACTATTAATATTACAACAATAATATCACAATTATTATTATGATTATGATTATTATTATTATTGTTGTTGTTGTTGTTGTTGTTATTATTATTATTATTATTATTATTATTATGTCTATGTGGGCAATAGGAACCTTTGTGTGCTGTGTTGTTCAGGGGGATGCAATTAGTGTAACTCACAACATCCTGCTGTTTCTATGGAAGCCCACCATGTTGATATCAGGACACCGATAGCTTGCAAAATTCCATGGCTACTGAAATTAAGTGTATTAAACTGAAATTGTACATAGCTAGCTATACACTCCGTCGATAATAGCTTCATATATCTCAAGTTTATTAATGTTAATTTCAGCCTTATCCCCTGAAAGGACGAGCAGAATGAACCGCTTTAATTCCACCGTCCCAGATGACGAGTACCTCGGTACGTTCTGTGTTAGCTGTGCGCTGCTAACAGTTGGGCTCTTTAGCTAACTCCTCTTTGTGTGTATATTCTCATTTAACAGTTGTGAGCTCTCTAATCGCAGCTCTGTCTCGTCTGTATATCGTCAGTGAATTTAAGGTCTATCTTTGTATCTGTACGTGTGATTCTTGTGTGTTCACTTTTCTTCCAGCGGACAGTAACGTGTTGTTCTACCTGAGTGATGCAGTGACCCAGCTGCTGGAACATAAAGAGGAATACACCCAGTTTGGGGTGATCCGCTACTTTGCTGAATAGTATGTTACACTCAACACACAGTCAGTCACCTACTGTAGCTATACACACAGGGAGGGTTCTTCTAGAGGTCTGTAAAAAAAGTTTGGACAGGGGTTAATGCAGCCATTTTGTAATTATACATCACCACAAAGACAGAAACTGAATATAATGAAAGTGGCTATTCATTATAACTTGGCCAGCCTTTTCATATTGCAAACCAACCCAGAATCTGTCAGTGCCATGCACAGACATTATTTGGGGCTGATGTTCAAGCGGATTAAAGGGCACCCTGCTCATTATGATTAATAAAAAATAAAGTTGCATACAGTAGCACTTCTTTTACTTACTTACATATTTATTCCTATCGATACCCATACAGTCGTGCAGACTGGGGTGTCATTTTGTTTGAACGTTTGAGGGACAAATATTAAGTGGGGAGTCTCGGGGTCCTACCCCAGGAAATTTTGAGCATCATAAACTTAGCTTCCTGCATTCTGCTGAATTTATCTGCATCAATTTATGGTGGAAATGTCTTAATTTATGTAAAGGAAAACACAAAATTCAGGCTGCAGGTGACAAATCAAAATAAAAATACAATAGAATATAAAGTGGCATGCAAAAGTTTGGGCACCCCTGGTCAAAATGTTGTTTACTGTGATTAGTTAAGTAAGTAGAAGATGATTTGATCTCCAAAAGGCCTGTAGTTAAAGATGATACATGCTTTTCAACATATTAAGCAAAATTAGTGTTTTATTTTTGTTTTGTACAGTTTTAGGGTGGAAAAAAAGACATGGAGACAAGGTTTGTGCACCCCAAGACATTTCAGCTTTCAGACAACTTTTACCAGAGTCTCAGACCATAATAAGCTTGTTAGGGCTCTGGCTTGTTCACAAATACCATTATGAAAGGCCGGGTGATGCAAATTTCATGTCATTTTATGCAAGACTAGCTTCCTTGTTGTTAAGCTTAATGGTGGGTTATTGCCTAAATTAGGCTGGGCGTATAAAGTTTTTAAACCCATCACTTAACCTAATACTGTTTTGCATTTGCCTGTTGGCAAAATGTAGATGAACCTAACTCACTCTAATCACTGTATTCCTACATAAAACCTTGCTCAGCAGCTTATGTATAACTTGACCTATATACTTACTTGCAGTGGTTAAATGTGAACAATCTGATTTGTGCAAATATCAGTCTTAAATTTGGTTAAAATGATCTTGAAAAGGTCTTTAAAAGCATTACATTTAAGTGGCTGACACATGTAGACAGTCTGTGAATATACGTTATGTACCAAATGTAATCCAAACAGTGAGGAGTCTCCACAAAACTAGATCACATTCCTGTCTCACAAGACAGACTGTTGTCCTAGCTGCGAGAGTTGGGGGATGTAAATACAATGTAATGCATCATGTGTGTGTAATTTTTAACAAAGTGATTACCCTAATTTTGCTTCTTTTTGTCATTTGTCTCTGTGTGTTTGTAGTTTTAGCAGTGTAAAAAACAGTAACCACGTGCTCTTCAGAGAGTATAACTACATTAAGGCCACTCCTCATAACAGAGCCTCCTTCATCAGAGTCTTCTGGAGATGCTACAGACAGATTGGCAAGAGTGGAGGTGAGAGTGAGCAGGAAACGTTTCTGCTTTCATTGAAGTTAGATTGTTTAAGTCATTAAATAATTGCCTCTTTCTCTATATAAGGCTAGGGTAATGTTATGACATAAGACTTGTATTCAAAGTTATCATGGACTGTTAAGTGAATTAAAAATAGGAAATACAGTAGTGTTCACAGCCTGCTTAGCCAGAGTGGTGGATTTGACTGTCTTTAACATTGAAATCAGTGCTTCACTGTTTTATAATCTGTAACTGACATGAGTTTTATTCTCTTGTTGTCTTCCAGACTTACTGTCCATGCTGGAGTACAGGTCGCTGCTGCAGTTAATGTGTCCAGACTTCCCTTTGGAGCTGGTGCAGAGTGCAGCCAGGTCAGTGCATGGGCACGCCTCAGACAACACACCATACTTAGTCTCTTCTCTACATGTTTACTATTCCATTAAACTCTTTTGACCAGGATTTCTTTGTGCTGTAGTTTAACACTCCAAAGAGGTTACACCTTTGTTTGTGTGGTTACCATGACTTCAACATGCATGCTGTGAGGATACGCCTGTTCAGTTTACTCTGATGATGAGTTTGAGTTAGATACTGTAGAGCAAATAGGACGGTCATTTTAGTAGTGTTAAAGTACACTGCAGTAAGTATCATGTAGTTATATTGTGTAGACTGTACATGACAGTGCTGTATGTTAAAACAGACATATAATCTTTCAGTCATGTGCAGAATCTTCTCTCCTCAAGCCCTTCACACATATTTTAGAATGTATTTTCATGTTGCACTACTCACATTTTTTGGTCTAAGATGCATACTGTTTTTTCTTTGACATGTGTTACTTCTAGGATATGTCCCTCAGTGACCAGTTTACTGTCCAGACAGTAGTACAAGAGACAAATAATCTGTGAAATAAGATCATGTCCCTCTGCCTTCTCCTAGTGCTCCAAATGGCATTTGCAAATGTCCACTGCATGTGAAAGAAACAACCAAACAGAGCTGAGGAGTCTCTAACGCAGCTGTCAATCATGTCAATCACTGTTCGGGAACGGTAGTCAAACTGTCAAACTAGGCAGCGCTGATCAAATATGAATCAAGATTCTGTTACTGCATTTCCTGTTTCTCACCTAAACTGTTTTCAGTGACATATTTTAGTGCCTGTTGAGCTGTAAAATAAGAAAGTTTGTGACGCCATGTTAGAATCAGTCAAGCCAAAACGAAGCACCGCCCACCAACTGGAGCAAATCATCTCATGGATTCTCATGGATTTTTGCAAATACCATCAGAGACACTACAAGGAGGCAGAGGAACATGATTTATTTAACAGACTATCTGTCTCATGCACTACTGTCAGGATACAGTGACAGTTTGAGCCAACTATAATTTTAATTGGTTGACAGAAGAGCAGTGTAAACTGATGTCATGTGCTCTCTCCTTGTCCTGTAGAATAGTTCTGATGGACGACGCCATAGATTGCCTGATGTCTTTCTCTGATTTCCTTTATGCCCTCCAGCTGCAGTTCTACTACCAAGGTACAACAGAAACTACTGTTGAATATTGGCTATTTATAGCATGTCCTGTTATACACATATTTCACTCACTTTGGCTGTGACCCGTCTCCAAACTATCCAAAATGCTGCTGCTCGGCTTTTAACCCGTAGCAATAAGAGGGCTCATATCACTCCAATCCTGTCCTCCTTGCACTGGCTTCCAGTAGAATTCCAAATCAACTTGTGATGTATGCTCCTGCATACATCACAGACCTCCTTCAACCTTACACTCCTTGTCGCACTCTAAAATCCTCGGATCAGCTCCTACTGTCAGTTCCACGTACTCGTTTCGTCACTCGTGGAGACCGAGCTTTCCAAGCGGTTGCTCCCAAACTTTGGAATGCCCTCCCCTTTTCGTTGCGATCCGCAGCGTCATGTGACACTTTTAAAAAACAACTGAAAACACTGCTCTTTAGCCAGGCCTTTGGTTAACTAACTCCTTTTACCCCATCAATCTCTTACTATCTTTCTATTCTATTTTACTATTTTGTTTTATTTACATTTTGCACTTTGCAGACACCTTGTCTTTTGCCTTGCTTTGTTTTTAATGCTTTGTTTTGTGCTTTGTTTTTAATGTTGTGTTATATTGTTGTACTTGCTTTGTCTACTGGAAAGCACTTTGTGATCTAGTATCTGTGAAAGGTGCTATATAAATAAACTTTACTTACTTACTTACTTACTTACCTTTATTAACATGGGCGTGTTAATGATTTGCATCTGTTTATAATTATTTCTCAACAGAATCACATTTAAACAGTTTGAATTTGATTCGCTACAGTAAGAGATGTGTTACATGAATTTTTCATACGTCTGACCTTTATCGTTTTCATCATTGTTTGTTGTTTCGCCTAGTCTGGGGTAAAGCTCTTAGATTGTAGATTAAATAGTTTAAGGATGAGAAGTTGCGCTCTCCTTTAAAGAAAGAGGAAAAGCTTGTACACCACACTTGAATGATTCTCATGTTCAGATATCTGATATGAAAGTAATAACAGAAACCGCCAATAGTGAGCAAGGAATCATCTATCAGATGTAATATCTTATTTTTATCTATTTTCTAATTTATGATGAAAGTATAATCCCATATCCAAAAAAGCTGCATCAAACAGAATTTAACCCCCTGACTTCCAATTGCCCATCATCCCCCTGTGTCTGTAGAGTTCCTGGACAGTGTGTTGGTGATCTACCAGGATCTGTTAGCAGGGAAGAGTCCTAACACTGTCATCGTCCCCACGTCCACGTCCATCGAGCAGCTCCCCTCTGTGGCTGCAGAGGAGAATGACACAGAGGAGCTGCAGCACGACGGAGTTGATCCATCCACTCTGGCTCAGTGTATAGACGCCTTCTGTGACAGGTTCAAACGCAGGTAAAACACACACACACACACACACACACACACACACACACAGTGTAGTCCTCACTCACTGGGACCAGGCACCCTTTAAGGATTTGTTTTGTACTGTACAGTATACACAAGAAAAGATATGACTACCAGAACATGGAATGCCAGAGAGGGCAAAAACATATGATACTGACATGTGAGGACACACATTGCCAGCAACAAATTGACAACAATCTATTAACTTCTTGTCAATACATTGTTGACATGTGAAAATTTGCCATGTTAATAGCGTATTAAAAACATGTTGACATTAACATGGCCTCTGCGGTAAAACACTCTAACTTTTTGTCTATGTGTTACTGTATAGGTCATTTACACATAATGTTGTGCTATGTGTACACCTTTCCATTTTAAACAGTGTCCTCATTTTCCATTGGCTGTTGCGCGCACACACACACACACACACACACACACACACGGTGGAAACAATACCAGTCCCTCTGTCACAGCTTGTAATAAAAAACCTAAGTATTTACCTCATGTAGCATGTAACACTGTGAATACTATTTAATGAACGCTGCATGCACATACAGTACAGTTTGTCAAGTTCCCAGTGACACTAGGTGCTACTTTTCTACTAATCACATGGTTTGATCCCCTCATGTCCACATGTCAAAGTGTTAACCTGTGATTGTATTTATAACATTAGTCGTGTGAATAATGCAGACGTGAGTGTTGGTCCTGGCTGATATCTTGTATCACACATCCGTAACAGCCAGCTGTTCTCTGTGCTCCTAATAATGTCATAAATACAACAGCAGATAGCAGCTGTAGTTATGTCCACAACGTAATCTGTGGGTGTGGTGGCAATGTTGGCAGTAGTGGTTGGTTCTCTTCTTACGACAGCAGGCTCAGCGCTGGCAGGGGGTGTGGGGATGTATGCACTAGCAGAGGCGGTGTCACCCACAACCTTCTGCTCCTGCTTCTCCCAAATTGGATGTGCTAGTTGTGGAAGTGGGGGAGGAAGAATTGTATTTATGTAATAAAGTCTTGAGTTGTTTTGTCAGTGGAACTGTGATCGATTAATCAAAATACATAAACACAGGTGAAAAAAGGAAACATCATTTTTACAAATTCATACACAAGCTAATATCTACATGTGAGTGGTATGGCTTTCTATTTTACTCCATAAAATGTACACAAATAGATCTATTTACCTCTTTTTACTGTTGTCTGTGTCTGAAGATTTTTCAGACAAGACAGGCAATGAAAGGCAGACATCCCAGCTTGCATACCATCTGCAATATCAGTGCGTCGTCATTTCCTAACCGTGTCAGAGAGACCCTGTCTCTTTCAATTGCCTTATAAATCTCAGTAAACACCACACAGATCATTAGTCACTCCACTAAATTAAAAGCATAGTTTTATACCACATCAGAGTCTTTTAGAATGACAGTGTACAAGTGATGATGCCACTCTGAGAGGCCTGTGGCTGTCATTTATCCCTCCATATACTGTAATGAAAAATAGCAGTGTGCACAACTCCAAAAATGTTAGACAGTATAAAAAAGGTGAATGGTACTGGCAAAGATCAAAAACAGATAGAACTTCAGCACTCATAGTAGAATTCATTTATTTGATATGGGCAAAAACATATAGACACGGACACGTTTCAGCCAAAGAGCCATCATCAGTGTGACACATAGAGTATTAAATGAATAAACTTATGAGTGCCGGTGTTCTATCTGTTTTTCTCTCCCTGTGGAAATGGTTTGCTTCCAAGTGGTAGATCGCAGGGCTGGTGTCTCTCAGACACATACGCTGATTCAGAGAGCCAGCCTGCTCAAGGTCAGCACAAATACAAGTATGACATTCCCTCAGGCGCCAGCAGCACTCATCTATGCAGCAGCTGAAAACAAACAGGAGAAGTGTTGTTGAACACTGATATGTTGTCCTGTGTGTGTTTTAGCTGACTTTTTTGTGTCTGTGTGTAGTCATCCTCCCAGGTCCTGTATGAGGGAAGTACTGGAACAGACCAACAAAGTCTCTTACTACAGCTTCCTAATGAGCCTGGCTAAACATGAGACCATCAACCAAACTATTGGTAGGTACAACATTACATATTACCATGCTAACATTGCTACTGCTACTACACACAAAAGGTTGTTGAATTTAAACACGTTGCAGAGTGTACAATTGTATGATGTGTGTGTAAGTGTATGCAGTTTGCTTTACTATAATGTCCACTTCTGTACGGATTTCAGACATGACTTATACACAGTAGCCCCTTTTCCACCAACATTTCCAGGAACCTTTATCACCAGGAATTTATTTACCTGGGTAAAATAATTCCTGGTAATCTGTGTGGTTTGCGTTTCCATCGCACCTCAAAGTTCCGGATAATTTATTCAAATTAGCGTGATGACGTAGATGATCCAGCATTTTGCCCATATGCCTCCCTGCAGCTAGGCAATTAAGGTGCTTTAAAGAGGACCTATTATGCTCATTTTCAGGTTCATACTTGTCTTTAAGGTTTCTACTAGAACACGTTTACATGATTTATTGTTTAAAGAACACTTTATTTTCTCATACTGTCTGTGCTCCCGGAAAAGCCCGGTCTGCTCTGATTAGTCTGCGTTTTTGGGTCTGTTGGATCTAAGCATCTCTGCACCATCATTGTAGCTCAGGAATGAGAATGGCGATTAGTGGCATTTTCTACTGTCAAAATCACCAGTAAAAGCTACTAAACACATCCAGCCATGTTCCAGCAGGAATCTGATCTGAAATCAGGGAGATATTAACAACATCAACGACCAAACTTGCATGTTCACCTGTTGTAATCATGTAGCTTCATGTAGTGTAGGCTATGCAGTGTAAACACCTGCAGTAGCGTGACTCGAGCAGATGGCCATATAAAGAGATGCAGCATACTATGGCTTCATACAGTAGAGTCGGGTGCAGGTTCAGGTTACCGTTTTTGTACCTGTAGGTGGATTTGGTTTGCAGATGAAAGTACAAAGCATCCATTGACACAGTTTCAGAAACTGCAAGCAACATCAGGATAAAACGTGACAAGACCATACTGGTAAAAGTGCTCCAGTGCTACTCAGAACTTTAAATATGTAATAAATACTTATAGAAACCCTAAATTACAAAAGAAAACCGGAAATAAAAACAATCTAAAAACTGTAAACAGATAATAAATACAGGCTCCAAAATGATGATTTTGTACATTTTTTCTACAGCTTGTTTACCAGATTGATGGCAGCTGGAACAAAGCAGTTTATATAGTGCTTGGTTTTATACCTTGAGAGTAAAAACCTCTGTCTCTGTTTTAACCTGCTGTTTCATCCCTCTTTCTGCAGGAGCGTTACCCAGCAAGGCAGAGTTGCTCATTGACCCAGAAATGGACCAGGAACTGGACAAACTGTAAGAACACACATGCACATGCACATGCACACACACACACACACACACACACACACACACACACATTAACATAATGCATTCCCTAGCCCGTTACCCTCACCTTAAACACCACAGCTAAATGCCTAACCCTGACCCCAACCCTAAACCTTACTATAAACTGAACCTTAATCCAAGTCTTAAACCTCAAACAGGCCATTAAAGTAGTGTGGACTGGCCAAAATGTTCTCACTTTCTAAAACTGTCCTCCCTCTGTTTGTCAAAAACATGTTTCGGTCCTCACTATGTAGCAATTCTGGGTACACACACACACACACACACACACACACACACACACACACCTGTATCAACAACACAGACAGTACACTGTATACTGTGCAGGATGACTGTATTGTAACAAGCAAAACATTTTAAAACATCTTTCTTTTTTTTCCTTTTGCTGTTTCCTCATTTTGTCATCCTTTATATCTTTCCTTTGTTTGGACTTTACTTTCTGTCCATTCTGCTTTCTTTTTTCTTTTCTTAATCATTATCTCTGTCCTTGTCCCATGCTGTCCAGAATTGCCCAGATCTCAGTGAGTCCTGGCAGCAACAGCAGTGGCAGTGCAGTGGGGGGGCTGAAGGAGGTGCAGAGGAAGGCATCCCCCAGGAGGAACATCCACCACAGGAGGAAGATGGAGGTGGAGAGTGATGGTTCCACAGAGGAGACCGACTCCTCTGAAAACTGACCTCGAACCTTTGACCAGCCTGTGACCACGTCACCTTCCATCTGAAGTCCAAAACACACTGTGGCTATATGGTACATGTCAAAACTTTCTTGCCCATTACTATACAAACCCACACTAGTGATGGATAGGCGCACAACGGTGCAAAAGAACATTCCACCTCACAACAGAATATGCTATTGTCTTTGTTTTGTCCAGCACTGATGTCTTAACAAGCAGTGCATGATCAAGTGAACTGACAGTCTACATCAGAATACCCTTCTTTTAATGCTACACATTGTTCTTCCTGTGCCGTGTAGTCCTAATAATGTGTAAGTCCCATGTTTGCATGTGGTCATGTGACATGCTACTGCTCTGTTACTGCAGGGTGTTTTGAGTTTTACTGTAATCTGACCGAACAAAATGTTTGCATTAGTTAACAATAATTATTTTTATTTTGCTAGTGATGAGTAATATAACCAAGTAATATATATATATATATTTACATATATAATAACAGTAACACTCCAGTTAATACTCAAAGACAAGTACTTAAGATTTTCCCAGAAATTCTCTTGTTGTCATGTAGGAGAAGCCTCTGAAACAGCATTTATACCATACCATCACAAAACACTACTACTCCTCACTAAAAGTTCACCTAATGAAGTAGTTTAAGGTACTGTAGGGTAAACTGCTCCTATTAAGCAAAACAAGGCAAGTTTCATTGCTGCTTTTACAGAGTGACTGGAATAAAAGATCGTAACCTCTGTCATGTTGGAGATGGAATTATTGACTGTAAATGCTTGAATTTTCATAAAAACCTTCGCTTGATGGCAGCACACCAACCTTACTTATTAGCTTTTCATCACATGCAGCGGGTGAATGTACAGAAGTCCTGCTGCTCTAAATCTTTCCCTTTTTAAAGGGTGGCCACAACACTGGACATCAAAGATGTAGTTGGAAATTTTTATGAAAGAAAAAAAAACTTTGTCATATTTGCTGAAACTGTAACAATATCCACACAGCAGGACATGAAACAGAAAGTCTGTAAAAAAAATAATGTTCCTCGTCCTGCCTTCTCCCAGTACTTCTAATGATATTTGCAAAAGCCCACTGCAGGCCAAGGAGTCTCCAAGGCAGCTGTCTGTCATGCCAGTCACTGCTAGTGAATGCGGTCAAAGTAGGCATCGCTGATCTAGTCTCTATATACAGACTCTACATTCAGTGAATGTAGAGTCTGTAGGCAAACCCCGGAGACCTTGCCTCCAGACGAAGAGCGGAAGAGCCCTGGTTTCCGGTTGTAGGCTGTTTGTAGTCCGCGTGATATTGACCAATCACGTTTGAGCCGGCTGCAGCTGTTGCCAGGTTAAACGCTCCGTGCGGTGAACTAACGAGGCGGAACATAATTGGCATCACTGCAAATTCTGAATCCATCGCAATGGTTCAGCATATTTACTTATATATAAACGGAAGTCGGAAACGGAAATTTGCCTCCTCTGCCCAAATCAAACCGGAATGCCAAAAAATCGGGGGTCTGCCCCCAGAGGCTGTATCGCCGTCTGCCGGAAGTCAGACGCCGAATATAGCCGATGGGTTCCGAGAATGTCGTTGATCAAATATGAATCAAGATTCTATTACTGCATTGCCTGTTTCTCTCCGTCCATGTTTTCAGAAACATATTAGTGTACTGTTTAGCTGTAAAATGAGAAAGATTGCAAGTTTGGATTCTTGCAAATGCAATTAGAAGCGCTACAATGATTTTTTTTTTTTTTTCCACAGATAATCTGTCTCATGTACTACTGTGTAGCTATAATGACAGTTTCAGCAATATGACAAACTCATTTATATAAAGGTTACCAACTACAGCTTTAATGCTATAAGTTTCTCGATGAAAGTAAAGTGTATTATAAGTCTTACCTGACTGCAATAGCAGATGTTTGTTCTATGTGGTTCTCAGTCTGTGCATGTGAAAGAACATGGATTCTTCTGCCTGTTAAGAGCCTCCACAGCAAACAGCTCAAGCATGAACTGAATTGACAGTGCATATTTATTTTATGACTTTTTTACGGGTTAAAAGAATGATATAAAGTGTAATATGTGAATGTGATATGACACAAATGAATATCCTCACACTGTGAATAATAAAAATGTAACTGTGAAACCTGAAATGGACAATTTCCTTTGGTCACTGCTACTGACATCTGACAGATATTTACTGGTGCTGAATGTGGTCTTTGTGTGAGTTGGGGAACACACAAGAAACGAGTAAAACTAGAATTACAGCCTCACAGATGTATGCTTCTGCAAACGCATTTAGGTTGCTTGTACAGTTTACATCCATGTCTGTGAAAACATGGATGCTTCTCACACATCTTTGCGCCGGCAGCACAGAAGATCTATACAGTCAGAACAGGTTCAAGGTAGACACCCAAGATTAGTGTCAGCAATTAAGTGTCTGAAGCAATGTCTCCCCGTCTGTTTCTGAGATGTGACGTTGAATAATGGCCAGTAAAGTGTTTTATGTAGAACATTATGTTATGGCTAAAAACATGTTTTGTAAGGTCACAGTGACCTTCGATCACCAAATTCAAACCATTTCATTCTTGAGACAAAGTAGGCGTTTGTGCCAAATTTAAGCATACTCCTTCAATGGCCCCTTAGGAAATCACATTCACAAGAATGAGATGGGTGCTAGGTCACAGTGACCTTGACCTTTGACCACCAAAATCAAATCAATTCATCACTTAGTGGACGTTTGTGCAAAATTTGAAGAAATTCTCTCAAATGGTTCTTGACATATCACATGCACGTGAAAGGGACGGACAGATACACAACTTGAAAAACATAATGCTTTTGGCCAAGGCTATCGCCGGCCCAGAGGCTTAAAAAGTATGGTCAAAAGATTGATGCAAAATTGAGTCCAAGAAGTCCTCACTCTGCTCTACCTCCTGAGCCACAGCTGGTTACGCCACTGTTACAACCATTCCAGTGTGCAGAGACTGAAATTTCTTTGGCTCTTCCACTGACTATTAGCATGGAATTGATTGTCATTAAATTAGCATGTAATCTATTTTATGAAAGCCTTGCAACCATCCCAGTATCAGCTAGGTTTTTACCTCATGTAACCTAGTCCGACTGCTAGCACAGATTATAATGATATAATGTTGTTGTAGTTTGTTTCTGATTGGAGGAATTCAAGGTGTTACAACCTTCCCATATTTGAACTGTTCCTTGTATCCCCTTTATGACAAAAAAAAATCTTTGAAAAAAGTAAGAGTTGCTACAACTGCCGTGACTCATGGCAGCCTTCCAATGTAGTCGTAATATGGCAGGTCTAAAATAGCTAGCTGTAAATCAAATCCTGTTAAGAATCATTCATTAAAATGTGGTAAACTTATATTCTATAAAGAAGGTCCTTTGCTTCCTACTAAAAAAACCATGTATTTTATGTGCAGTTGTAAATGTGATTTATTGACAAGAAAAACCACCATCATTATCACCAGTCTGTGAATCTTCTGTGTGTCTTCATTTTATAACATCGATATCATGCGGTGTTACACCCAGGTTTTGGTCAAACCAACAGCATACAATAATAACTCCTATACAAACATACATACATACAGTATCTATACAGGATATATCTATATTGATGAGTCATGTACAGTAGATCCCCATGGTGTTAGAATCACGATAGTGGAATACATAGAAAGGACACTTTCTGGTGGATCAGAACAACTTCCTGTGGTGCACCTCAGATGGCTGGCATGGAAATGAGCATGTGGCGGATAGTGTACTGCATGAGGGTTTTTAAATAGGTCTTTCCTTTCCTCAAAGTTGTCTTTGATTTTCATTCACTTCAGGGCGCTCCTGTACAGTGGTGCCCCCAGAACTTTTCCAGAGGGATGGCCAAATGGGGCCACTGAAAATCTTGGGGTAGTACACCAAAACTAAAAGCTATAACTGAATTTCAGGTATTCGAATATGCTGTTTAAGTATAAGAAGGAAAGAATCGCTAAGTGATATAGGCTACTTTGATTTCTTATTATATTGTTAATATTACTAATTATCTGATGTGCATAGACTTATACTGGTACAGTTAACATTTTGATTTTCCATAACAGTCCTGTTTTAATGTGTTTCTGTAAATATTAGGCGATTAACTGTTCTTCAAATAGGCTGGTTGTCTTTTTCCCTAAAAAGACAAATATACAGCTTTACTTTGAAGGAGTACATTGATTGTATGGAGCAAAACATTTACAGAGAACAAGCCTTATCAAGTTTAGGGGAGACTCCAAGGTATCCATAGAACCCATTTTTATTCAAAGAGGTGAGATTTCAAGGGACACTCTTTAAAAATGGTCACGCCAGGTGTTGCCTCGCCAAAATTTAGCCTAAATTTGGAGCATTATTTAGCCCTCTTTCAGACAAGCCAGCATAATATGGTTCATACTAATGGATGCCTTAGGTTGTTTAGTTTCACAAGTAACCACTAACATCATGCTAGCTTAAAAAATGAGTGTGCCAAAGCCTCTTAAAGAGAGTAATGTAGGCTTTCAATTATTTTCACCTAGGGGTTGGGTAGCAGTTGTATTAGGGCGGCCATGGCCCCCATTGGCTTCCCCCTTGGGAGTGCGCTTATGTTTTGGCAAGGTAAAATTTCTGATGCATGAGTAAATTATTATTTTCATACCGTTGAAAAATTAGTAACAATTAAGACAATGGCTATCTGAAAGGCAAGGAAGGGGAACTTTTTGTCTAATGTAAAGGGTTTGCTGATACACGTTTTGCCGACCAATATCAATATTTTCAGACAGAAGCTGCATGACTTAGATGATGATGTTAAAGTACCTTTAACTATTTTCAATCCCAAGTTTAGCATTTTGTCCTCCATTTTATCCTCCCTGGGCTACAAAAGCAGCAAGATCATGGGACAAAACTTCTCAGTTAAGACTATTATTACTGCTGCTAATTTAAATCCTGATAATGAATTATATTCACACATAGTTGTGTGAAATCACACCAAAATTTTGCATTACATCTTTTCCCATAGAAAACAGGTGTAATATTGAGCAGTTTTATAGTAAATGTGGCCTAATACTTAAGCTCTCTTGAGTCCCAGTAACATTATTTAACATTCCATGGCAGCCATCTTAGGTGTACCAAGTCATATCCAGCTATCCATCTGAATGAAACTGGCTGTTGTACATATTTAGATTCTGTGATTGGAGACATCTGAAGTCAACAGTAAATACATAGGACAGTCATCATCACTACACCAGAGAAAAAAAATAGGCACTGTTTTTCCAACACAAAACATTTCAGGCTTCATTTCCACTGACTTTATGTGCTCAAATCTGTTTACAACACATAGTATGTATAGAGTGGTGCAGGAATAATCCTTAGTCACAGACATTAGTCAGCATTTTTATACTTCCTGTTTTCTCATCTTGAAGTCAATGGGTTCTTTAAATGGGTTTTTTGGTTAGATGTCTGAAATAAGGTCTGTCAACACAAGCTTAAGAGACTGAAATGTTTTGTTCAATGTCATAAAACACATCAAGTGTCTTAAAAAAAGTGGTTGCTGACAAGTGGCTTATTGAGATTACAGAGCATGATTGCGCCAAACACAGCTTTACAGCCTTATTGTAGGGGCAATGTTGAAGTCATGCGACCACAGTGTAGTTCATTTATAGCCTAACGTTAACTTTTTACTTCTAGCAATTGCATTTACACCTGAAAAATAATAGACTGGTGTTCATTTGTGAAGATTATCTTGTTAAACAAAACATGTAAGTATCATAAACTTTTGTTGCCATAGTGATTATTTTCTGCAGTAATTCTAAATCCAATGGAAAAATCCCATTGGCTTTTTGTAGAGGGAACAGAAGTGATGTTAACATGCAGGTTGGCCTACACATAAACATCATCCCTGCAGCGCTCTATTGTAAATTCCAAGACCAAATGTTCACATCCTGGATCTTAAAGCTGCATTAACTGATTGTTTAGGCCACTTGGGAGCAGCAGGACAAGCTGAAAACACAACACTGACATACTATAAAAGCTGTCATGGCTAGCATGTTAGCAAATATTTGTCTCCTTACATATCTGACAGACACAGAGCAGCATTAGCATTATTATGAATCATGTCACAGATTACCTGATAAATATAATTCACTCTCTTTTCAGCCCTATTTTGGTCTCCGCAAACTCCTAATATATCAGGCTCTTTAGCTGCTAAAGGCTCCATTATGTGTGCCTGCAAGTTGCTAACTTTGTCTGTCTGCTATTCGATACTGGGCCAGTAGTGTGCAGTGGGTTTTAAAAGCCTTTTAGCTGCCTGCTGCTTCTAGAGATAAGGTTGATGGGAACACAGATTGTACACTAGGTGGAAAGAGGCTGAAAATCTTCATAGGGCAGAGGCTAACTGCATTGCTGGGTAATAATTCTTTGTGAGTTCATTACTATGAGTGACTCCTTTTATATTGCACATAGTCATTTGATCCAGTGTTGTAAAATATGTTGATTGGTGCAGCTTTAAGCCTGGGGCTAATCTTCAAATGGCTGCAAAAACATGGAAGAACAGCATGGAAATGAGTTCTCCTTATTTGGATAACCAAATCAGATCGTGGGTCAGATAGTGAGGGGAAATCTCAAAATGCTGAGTTCAGTATTTCCCTTTTAAATATGTCTACACTAAAAAAAAATCTTTATGAGAATTCATTATTTCCATGCTGGCTTGACCCCAACTTTGGTCCTAGATTTGAGCAGGCAATGCAAAAGAAGTCTGAGCTGAAAGTAATATGGACGGACATGGACATGACTGCACAGTGATCCACTGTCCCAACATCTTTGTTCTTTTGCACACATACTAAATTGCACAGCGTCATTTGGGCCATGTTATTACACAGAGTTAAAGGAAAAATGTGTCATTGTTCAACCAGAGAAACCCTGCATGACGGGTTTGTAGTTGGAACCACATTTGGAAGAAAAAAAACATCAAGCAGCACAAAGAGAAATTAGGCACCTTAACAGCATCTCCAAAGGTCTTCAGCAGTAGATTGTCAAGTCTTGGGGTTATAAGATGCAGAATTATATATCTATTCTTTTCTTTTTGGAATCATTGGTGTGCCCTTATCTGTGCAAAGAAACAAGCAGGTTTGTTTGTTTATCATATGTGTCCACAAAGGACTGCCTTTAAACTGTTGGGGGAATTTTTTGCTAATAAGAAGCTCTTCTTTCTTCTAGAGTTGACAATGAAGCTAATTTAAAGACAGAAAATTTACCTTATTTTAATGAACATGCAGTCTTGCTTAGATTCTCATATTTTAAATGTGTGCTTGTGGGTAGCAAAGCTGCCTTCCAGGCAGTTGACCTGGGTTTGGGTCTCGGACGATGAATGCGGTGACATCTGTAAACTTGAAATGCTTGTCTCACCTGACACTGAAGTTCAAGCTCAAGTGGCAAATCTCAAGAAAATATCTGGAACTGGAATTCTAGTTTGTTGACTTGAACATCCAGAAGCTACTTGTTAACCCAAGTAAACACACTGCTCATGATCACTAACATGGCAGATGCTCAACATTTCATTTTGGTCAAGAGAACGAATGTTCAGTAAGTGAGTTGCACTTCTCCATTGCACTCCCACCTAATGGTTTAGACTGGTGCAACAGCAGCCCAGGCTCATAGAAATATATATATATGGTGGCAACAAAGTATGAGCAAGACATCATTTGGTGGTGGGAATGAAATGTGGGGGTGGATGGGTCAAACAAACATGGACTTTCAACCAGGAGACCACTGTTTGTGTCCTGTGTGAAACCAAAAGTCAGTAGTTACATGACTTCACATACTTAAAATAACTACGCAAAGTAGGTAAATTTATCTCATCTAGTCAGTTTAACAAAAACTACGATCCTTTCATAAACTCAACCAATTATTTTTTTGTTCTCTAAATGTAACCAAACTATGATCTAGACTTCTGACTAAATTTGTACTTTAGTCAACATACTGTTCATAGATTTTCCAAAGATTTCAGAATGAGACTTCTACTTGAGTGAGACTTAGTTACACATGTTAACAAATAGACCAGATTAGAAAAAAGGTAAGGAACACATTCCATTTCTCTGTAGGAATAATTTCCATAATGTTATCAAACAGGTACAGTAACAATCTGAGTCAAAGTGGCAAAACAAGCATTTTTAGTCGAAATAAATTGACAGTGCATAATTGCCCACAGGCTAGAGATTGCAGCTTGTTTCATCGCTGTGGCTGCAGCGCTTTTGCTCAGTGCTTGATCAAGTTCAAAAGTTGTTGTCTCCATAATCCACTCTGGCAGAAAAAATGGGAGACTACGGTCCAAACTGAAAAATACCAAAGTTTCCTATTAATCTATTGCTAAAACTGTCACTGATTAATTATTATTTGGTTCTGCAGTGGCTGCATGTTCACAAATTGATGATATAAATATTCTGTCATTCAAGTAACTCCATAGTCCTGAAGGCTGTCTATATGGTTTACATCCAATATCAATGTGTCATTCCATATAAGTAATTTTATCCCATAAAATATATCAGTCTCATATATTTGTATTTGAATTTGGGCAGGTTAATGTTACATTTGTCCTCAGTGTATGGAACATCTCATGTGATCCTATCCATCCATTGAGGTATTTATATTGTGACATGGCTAAAGGAAGGAAAAGCTCGCTGTATCACTGGATGCAGGTAAGAAAAGAAATCCACCATGCAAGTACTCTGACGAAGATAAATCAGTGGTCCAGTTTGCTGTGTAAGACCGGGCTTACATGCACATAGTGAGTATTCAGTACATAGTGTGGACAGGGGAGAGGTGTTATTCAATGAAGATGTCTTCAGTGGGACAGGAGTAGCCAATGTGCTCCTTGTAATACTGCTTGAATGCCCTCCTGTGGGAAAAGAGATTTAGAAAATTAAAGGACATACAAACAATAATGAAGCAGAACAGATGATAGGACATGTTTGTTTAGTTGACTTCTCATCTACCAGTAACAATTTTGATTGCCCAATCTTGTATACCTATCAAGCAACAGCCTCCAGGACTTAAAAATGAAGCCAATGCGGAAGTGCCAAACACTGCAGTTCTTCTAATGTCCACTTAAGGCTGGCTCCAAGAGAGAGTCAATCCCTACAAAACCCCATGTTAAAATGCCCAACTTTACTGCAGAAATAAACATGTTTACAGCCTGGTACAAGAAACGATTTTGGCCTCTTTAGCTAATTTCCCTGTTCATGACAGCTATATGGGGGGCAATTGTTTTTATGACCTCACCTGTTTACATTTACAAGGCTTAATGTTACGCTTAAGGGTGCGGCTGCTTTGAGTGGGTGCCATCTGTAGACATGGTGTAACTCTAAATACACAGAGTATAGGCGCAGCCGTAGCTGTCGCTATTTCAGTGTGTTTTCAGTTCATGGAAGCTAACAGTAAAGTTTTGGTTGTTTGGTTGTACTTAAAAACAATTTAAGGAGTCAGATACTACTAGGTACCTGTTGTTTTAATGGTTTTTCACTAGCAAAAATAGCATTAGCATTATCATAGTCAAACATGGCTGCATATGCACCATGCTAACTAAGATAGCAACTAGTGTTAGGGTTAGCTCCACCCACTTATTCAAATATGGTCACATCAGGCTCCAAAAATCCAATCCATTTTGGCCAGTATGCCAAACTCAAAGCATCAAAATGGTTATCCACAAACTGATGGCTGATGCCATGGTGGCTACAGTCCAGTATCTACAAGAGACATGGCCAAAGAATATGAGGATGTCACTTTGGTACAGAGCAAGATAAAAAAAAGTAAGAAAAGTAGTTATAATGCAGAATGTTGCAGAGTGCACAGTTTTATGTTGTTAAAAACATTATATAATCTTTTTATTTTCACTAATGCATTAAAATGTGAGCAACATTTTAATGCTACAACTGGTCAAGATTGATTAAATTACTTTTTATACTGTTGTGTTATCATGTTTATATTTTTACCAGGTAATAAGTGGATCATTTTGTGTGTAAAAAGTAACTATAGCTTTTAAATAAGTGTAGCCAAGTGGAGTAAAGCACTGTGGAGCAAGAACAGTATTTTCCTCTTAAGTGTAATGGAGTGGAAGTATAAAGCAGCCAACAATGGAGATACTTTAATAAAGGTCAGGTGCTTTTAAATTGTACTTACTGCTGTGGTTGGTAACTTTTATAAAAACAACTTTTTTCATATTTGCTTAAACTGCCACCATAATCACACAGCACTAAATAGACAGATAATCTGTGACAAAATCATACTCCTCTCCCTATGCTTTTGCCTTGTAGCATTTACTGCATGTAAATGAAAACAACCAATCAGAGACGCAATTCATGGCTCGTGAACTAGGCAGTGCTGAATAAATATGAATCAAGATTCTGTCACTGCATTGCCTTTTTCTCCCCTCAAATGTTTTTTAAAACATTTTTATTGTACTGTTTAGCTGTAAAATCAGAAGGTTTCGAGTTTAGATTCATGCAAAACTTATTAGAGGAGGAACCTTTTGTTTTCACAGATTTAACAGTTAATCTGTCTCATGTACTACTAAATGGATGTAATGGCAGTTTCAGCAATATGACAGTTACTTTTATCAAAGTTACCAACATTCTCTGGTGAGCTGTTTAGCTGTAAAACGAGAAAGTTAATGACCCGGTTGCCATGTTGAAAACAGTAAAGCTAAAAACAAGCATCACCCACCAACTGAAGCAAATTTTCTTATTTTACAGCTTAAACAGTGCACTAAATTATGCTTCTGAAAACATTTGAGGTAAGAAATAGGTAATGCAGTGACAGAATCTTTAGGAATGCATTATAATATTGGCACATCATTTTATTATTTTGGCCAATATCAGCTTTAAAATGAAGGAATAAGCCAACATGCTTTTTCTTTTTTCTTTTTTTGTACAATGAATGAATATACACACTGAAAAGTATTGCATTTCACGTCTCCATCTGCAGTGGGCCATCACGATAAGAGAATGCAAGAATAATATGATGTTAATTCCACTACAGAAGAGACTTGGTGATCACTAAAATTAGGTGGTGAAAAAGTGGATATATCCGTATCTGTATCTGTTAGTTAGTTGTTACACATCTGCATATCAGATAGCAGCAAAAAGTCCAGTGTCGTGCATCCCTAAGAATCTTGATTCACACTTGATCAGTGCTGCCTAGTTTAAATGTTTGACCGAAGTTAACAAACAGTGATTGATAAGACCGACAGTTTTGTTGGAGACTCCTCTGCTCTGATTGGCTTCTGTGAGCCATAGATTCTAGCAAAAGCTATTAAAAGTGGTAGGAAGAAGAGGAGGGGCATGGTTTTTCCACAGATTATCTGCCTCGTGTACTTCTTTAAGTACCGTAAAATTTGGTGTATCCCTGTTTGAGACCTTAAAAAATAGACTGCGACTTATATGCCAGTGCAACTTATATTCCGAGTTTTACGGTATACAATGATAGTTTCAGCAATTGTCGCTTTAAGCTATCCTTAGGAGTATTTGAGTAATCAGTTACTTTCCACCACTGGTACTCAGCAGATATCTACTTGTAAAAGTCAGAAATTATGTATAAAACATACAACAGAACAGAACAGAGAATAGAAAACAATACAATAGGTCTTACCCTACAGACTCAGCCAAAGGATGTAATGTTGTCTCTGACATCATGACATGACAGGCAAAGCGCTGTTGGTCAGGGTGTTTGGTGATGAGACCAAAATACCTGCAATGCAAAATTCTCCATTACTCAGGAACCATATAGTTCACAGGTTGATTTACAAGTATTAGTTGAAGCTAAGCTGCTGTAGTAATCAAAGCACAAGCTCAAAGTGACAGCTCACTCCAAAATCCAAAATACATATCATTCCTCTTACCTGTAGCGCTATTTATCAATCTAAATAGTTTTGGTGTGAGCTGCAGACCTTGTAAGCAGTTTCATGTAGGCACTATTTTCTTTCGCCAAAACTGCACCTGCCAACCGTATCACAGCTCAGCTGAGGAGGACGCCATTATTGGTTATATCTCGCCATATTATAAACACAATCCTCTCATCCATGAGTAGATGCAAGCTTCCTTCTGTATGGTGATACAGTTGGTGGGTGTAATCCACTCTGGATTGATAAATAGCCCCACAGGTAAGAGGAAAAATTTGTATTTTTGATTTTGGGGTGAACTGTCCCTTTAAATGTGTGAGCTTTACATCATCATTGAAATTTAAAGGAAATTCAAAGACTAGGTACAGTTTAATATCGAAATTTCTCCTGCAAGTGTGGGAATTGATGAGATCAGATAATCCCTTAAGTGCTCCAACTCACTTGCTGTGTTTTGGATGACAGCCACAGAATGAGATGTTCTTCAACTGGAAGAAATGGAAACACTGGTCCCCCTGACAGAGACAGAGACACAGAGAGAAATGTAACATTTCAGTAACTGAGGTCCAAAATTTCCACCTGGAATATTTATCCAAACTGGAAGAGTAGTTGAAATCCCCATTACTGTTTCTGAGTAGCTTGTAGTTACTGTTGGTTGCCACTTCAGAGTGCTAGCACCTAACTATAGCAAAGTCTCCAACATCATTTTCCAACATCATAATCAGCTGGTTTCAAAAATGTGTGACACCCAGGAAGGATGGAATGCATTTATGTAGATACAGAAGTGCACGTACCCTATGAGCAGACTGACACTGGTCTTGGACGCTGATCTTCACACCCTTCACACTGACCTCCAGCACACAGGGTGACGGAGGCTGACCTGCTAACCGCCTGTTACACGCCACCTGTTAGCATAAATCATCAATAAATCAGTCAATGAACATACAGTACCTGACTACAAGCAGCCAGCTGTTTTTTAGGCACCAAACATGGGTGTTTCTTAGCAATAGTGCCATGAAAAGCGGCTGTTAGAGTGTGTTACTAACCCCAACATGATCTTTCCCCAAACTAAACCTAACCACACATTAACCACAGCACTGTTGAAATGTAAAGAACATAAAGTTTCAACATATCCATCACTTAATGATGTATAAATGTAATTTAATTTACAAAATGAATAAATAAATTGTGGTAAATTAGTCCCTCTGGAAATAGTCAAGAATAAATAATCAATAACTCAAATGTCCTTCTAAAGTCTGACTAGTCTGCCCTTTTCATTTTGTCACCTGCTTTAGTCCTTATCAGTGCATTTTAAATAACGCAATTTATTAAGTGAACCACATTAGTGTAGAGGCCCTGGTTGCATGTTTTTTCCTACAGATTTATATTGCAGTGACTAACATAACTCCAGTGAATCTGAATAAATGAGAACATATAATTTGGTGATTGCAATTCTTACATCTAATAGTTTGTAATTGTGTTTTGCAGGCTTAGCAGCTTAGCAAGAAATGAGTTATTCACCTGCTCATGTTCAGAACCCTACTTATGTTCCCACAACTTTCACCACAGCAATCACTAAAGTCCAATCTTTTTTTCACAAAGTGAGGCAACATGCTGCAAAGTCAAAGTAAAATATGAGGTGAAAGGAGAGAACGCTAGAGAGAAGCTAAAGTGTTTTGTAATGTTCTTAATAAGGATTTGGACCCAGTGAGGGATTTAGAGGAAATATAGTGATTAAAGCTGCAACAGGTACAGCTCTCCACTTGTATAACACACTGGACTGGAGCCAGTTAAAAGGTCAGTTCACCCAAATCTCAGATAGTTTTGGTTTTATTTGTCTTGGCTTTAAGAATTCTGAATTTAAGAATTCTTAATAGCCCAGGCAATTAACACAAGCTAACAGACACTGGCCTGACAGTTGTTATGGTTGAAATGTTAACAGTTGCCTGTTTACACATTGAGCTGAGACGACGCAACTTTATCATTTCAGAGTTGTGTTTGTGTCTCACAGAAGTTAGTCCAGTGGTCACTCTCCCTTCAGCTTGTGGTTTTAATATGAAAAATGTCTGTCTATTTAGCTCATAAATGCTCTAAAACGGTCACCTGTTCACTAGTGCAATGAGCTAAAAGAGGCTTGGTTCTGATTTTCTGTGGTTTTGTTTGTGGGTTTCTGTTAGTGACCCATTTCATTCATTTTTCATGCATTTGTTTCATTAATAATAATAAAGAATATTATGAACAGTGTTCTGAACCCGAGTGGTGTGCAGTTATTGGACTTCTGTGCGGGTCGCAGTTTGGCCATTTCTAACACCATGTTCGAGCATAAGGATGTCCATCGGTGCACGTGGCACCAGGACAGCCTAGGTCGCAGGTCAATGATTGACTTTGTAGTCGTATCATTTGACCTGCGACCATATGTTCTGGACACTCGGGTGAAGAGAGGAGCAGAGCTGTCAACTGATCACCACCTGGTGGTGAGTTGGATCAGGTGGCAGGAGAGGACGCCGCGCAGACCTGGCAGGCCCAAACGAGCAGTGAGGGTCTGCTGGGAACGCCTGGCGGAAGAACCTGTCAAGATGATCTTCAACTCCCACCTCCGGGAGAGCTTCGACCGTGTCCTGAGGGCAGAGGGGGACATTGAGTCCGAATGGGCCTTGTTCCGCTCTGCCATTGTCGAGGCGGCTGTAGCGAGCTGTGGCCGCAAGGCTGCGGGGGCCAGTCGCGGCGGTAAACCCCGAACCCGCTGGTGGACACCAGAGGTGAGAGGAGCCATCAGGCTGAAGAAGGAGGCCTACAGGGCATGGTTGGTCTGTGGGTCTCCAGAAGCAGCTGACGGGTACCGGCGGGCCAAGCGGAGTGCAGCAGCGGCAGTCGCGGAGGCAAAAACTTCTCAGGGGGGGAAGGCGGCAACTTGCTCACATTGTTTACAGTGGGGGCAGGGAGCTGCTGACTGGGGACATTGTCGGGCGGTGGAAGGAATACTTTGAGGAGCTCCTCAATCCCACCAACACGTATTCCAGTGAGGAAACAGAGCTGGGGGTCTCGGGGGTGGTTCGTCCAATTTCTGGGGCAGAAGTCGCCGAGGTAGTGAAGGAACTACGCGGCGGCGGAGCCCCGGGGTGGACGAGATTCGCCCTGGATATCTCAAGGCTCTGGATGTTGTAGGGCTGTCCTGGCAGACACGCCTCTGCAACATTGTGTGGACATCGGGGGCAGTGCCTCTGGAGTCGCAGACCGGGGTGGTGGTCCCCATCTTCAACAAAGGGGACCAGAGGGTGTGTTCCAACTACAGGGGGATCACACTCCTCAGCCTACCCGGTAAGGTCTACGCCAGGGTGCTGGAGAAGAGGGTCCGGTTGATAGTTGAACCTCGGATTGAGGAAGAAAAATGTGGATTTCATCACGGACCACGGAAAAGGGTGGATTGCCCACTCCAGGTCGGGGGGGAGGTCCTGCCTCAGGTGGAGGAGTTTAAGTATCTCGGGATCTTGTTCACGAGTGGGGGTAGGATGGAGCGGGAGATTGACAGGCGGATTGGGGCGGCGTCAGCAGTGATGCAGGCGCTTAACCGGTCCGTTGTGGTGAAAAGGGAGCTTAGCCAGAAAGTGAAGCTCTCGATTTACCGGTCAATCTACGTTCCAACCCTCACCTATGGTCACGAGCTCTGGGTAGTGACCGAAAGAACGAGATCGCGAGTACAAGCGGCCGAAATGAGTTTCCTCCGCAGGGTGGCTGGGCTCAGCCTTAGAGATAGGGTGAGGAGCTCGGACATCCGGGAGGGACTCGGAGTAGAGCCGCTGCTCCTCCACATCGAGAGGAGCCAGTTGAGGTGGTTCGGGCATCTGGTAAGGATGCCTCCCGGACACCTCCCTTGGGAGGCTGGCCTGGGAACACCTCGGGGTTCCCTCGGAAGAGCTGATGGAGGTGGCTGGGGAGAAGACTGTCTGGGCTTCTTTGCTGAGGCTGCTGCCCCCGCGACCCGGACCCGGATAAGCGGAGGACGACGAGTACGAGTACGAGTATGAACAGTGTTTTAAGAGACAGTAAGTATTATTAATATTATTCTTGGAAATATTAGAATTTAAAACATAACCCCATTTCCTGCAACTAGCTTTTAAATGGTTGTTATACCATGCAATGATCACCAGTTATTTAGCATTCTACCACTGATAATCAGCTTTCATGGTGCAGTTCTGCTGCACAGTGTCTGTACTTGTGTACCTTTTGCATCGCAGCACATAGCATGTCGTTGCCTTTGTGGATGGGGACCTGAACTGAACCCAGGAATCGCACCAGGAACTGATCTGTCCAGCCATCTTTCTGGACTGTGAGAGGAAAGGAGAACAAACATAAGAAAATACATCTTTAATTATGAAATGTTGTTGATGATGGTGGTATTCTGTTTTTACATTTCAGTATTTTTTTTTTTTTTTTTGCAGTGTACCTTGGTTAATATCTTTGGCCACCTTGACAGCATAGAAGGCAGGGAAGATGCCGGTAGCGCCAGTCCTCATGTTGTAACCCTGACACCACAGGTCCTCAGACTGGTTCAGTATTAACACTGGGTCATCTGACTCTAGGTACAGCTCATCTTCATGACGAGGGACAAACCTAAAACAGCCATACAAATTTATAGATTTCAGTCTGATGTGTTTATTTGTATGTCACAATTAGTTTGTGTATGTTCATATGTATTGACCTGTAGGCAGCTCTGTGGCTCTGTTCTCTCTCCACTCCATTCAAAACACAGGAGAACACACCAAAAGACCCAGCACCTGAATGAGACAGCATTATGTTATACTCACAATCAGAGACTGCATGTAAAGATGACAATTCCCCAACAGTGAAGCCACAACATCTTGATCACCCCCTGGTGGCTGGCTGCTGCATAGGTCATAAACCCTACCTCCTCCATGTTATCAGATGGGACATGACATGGCATCTTTAGGAAGTTTTTATCACACTGATATATATTCAAGTGTTCATTTTTCTGGTTAGTTCATCAATCATCAGTTTACAGTTTGTATTTTGTGTCATATCATCTTTTCATGAAAAGACACAAAAGTAAAGTAATCAAATTTTGACTTGACTGGAAACCCACATGGAAACCATGGACCATGGACAAGCTTAAAGCTCATTTGCATAGGATTTGGAAATTGATGAAAAAAAAAAAAAAGATAAAATGAACTTTGACAACTCCTTACAATAGTGTGAGAAAGATTCTGAGGCTCACGTTAATGCACACTACTCCTTCCATCACTTCAACTTGAGAATGAGAGGACTGAAAGCCACACATAAGCCCTTTTTTACACAGAGATAGTGCAACAGAGCTTCCCTTGTCTCTTTAAGTCTCTAATTCATGCCGCCTTTGCATTTTTACAGGGAACCAAACGGCAGCATGTGTGTGATTTTAGACAGCATGGCGGCATCAAGGAAGCAAAAGGGGCGTGATTGGAGCGATGGGCATTACATGTAATACAACAGCGTCGACCTCTAGTGTGACATATAAAAACCCATGTCTGCTGCGCTTTACAAACAATAACAATGGCATAACATGGCAATAACAATCATTTACAGTTACTACCAGCTACTGTGCCAGCTACTACTCATACCGCCCATGATCCTGTCCCGTCCATTAGACATCTTTTCGGCACTGTTATGACCTCCAATGCCGTCTTGAAGGCAAGACAACTCTGTCCTCCCATTCTGTGACTGTACATTTTATACAGAATGACTAGGTGGCATAACAGTGTGAAATTCCTGCCTTAAACAGGCGGTGTTAAGGGGGATATAGACTATATCCTCTGGGAACAGCACTGGGCTTTGAAGCCAATTTGACATAGTGACTAAAATGTGAAATTACAACTTCTGGGTTGGCTATGTGATGCAGTGGGGCCCAAAAAGTATTTTTGGTCCAATAACATTTTGACAGTCTAGAAGAACTGCACAATTAAACTATTTATCCCCATTTAAGTTAGCAGAGGGCTAAACCTGGTTTAAGTTCCTAGAGTGCTAGCTTTATGGGCCCAGTGAAGTGGTAGACCTGGGTAATTTTATACCCTTAAATTTGAACTTTGGCTTTATGCGCCACTGAGCAACTTTCATAGGAATAAAGAGGGCACTGCCTTCAATGCTGTATCCAGTTCTCTTTATACATCAGTGTCTATGAGACTACACCATTTTTCAAAACAGAGATTGTCTTATTTTCTCCAAACAAAAACTGATACCATCAGAATGATATGAAAAATGCTGTAACCTCATACAAACTCAACACAGAATGACTTTCTAAGTACACACTTGAGTGTTACTAATGGGGGATATACAAACCTGTGGTGCTGTAATGACTGCTCTTGTTGGGAAACAGGTTGAGGAACTTCTTACTCCTGGAAGCTGCGGCCCTTTCTCCATTAGACTCTTCTTCCTCTGAAGTTGTAGTTGATGTTACCTTTGACTGCTTACAGATCCTTGCCACAACTTCCCTCCGTCTCTTTATTTCCTCCTCCCTCCTCCTTTTCAAATCCTCTTCCCTCCACTTCTTCTTCTCCTCTTCCTCCTTTCTTCTCTTTTCCTCTTCTTTCCTCCTGTCTTTGAGCAGAAAACAAGAAAAGTTAAACTACTAGCAGCAAGACACAAGAACAAAGGCACCGTGCAAAAAGATAGCGTATGTTTGATTTCAATTTAAGACAGTCTTCTCTGTCCTTAAGCTACACCTGCACAATCATCCAGTAAATGTTTGGTGCTCCTTCTGTTCAGTGGTTTTCCAGTACTGGGCCCTCTAATCTTTTGTCGTTTTATGTTTGAACTTAATAACATGACTCAGATCACAAACCTTGTTAAGATCACTTAAACATGAGTTCTCAAGGCCTGTCCCAAAATGCACATCTCAAAATGTATCATTGCACCTTACAGGACAAATAAAAACAGTGAAAGCACCAACTGATCTTGCAAGCTTTTTTCATCTGCTTGTATGTGCAGTATATAATAGTTATACAATATGTTAGTTTTTGTATGTAGGTATTTATGTATGTAAGTATGTAGGTACACTGAGAGCCACTGGAAACCAGAGTCAAATTCCTTGTGTGTCCAAACACACTTGGCCAATAAAGCTGATTGTGATTCTTGGTTCTGACACATCTTGCTATACTATTACAGCTCTTTCTTAAAAACAGTGAATTGCTCAGCTTTGCAGTGTGACTGCACTCACAGCAGGGTTTCTGATGTTACAGAGATTAATTGGTAATTTAGGACATCCTTTAATTGGATCCACAAACTGAAAATTAAGCTGAAATTGTGGTATGAAAGAGGGTATTTTTCTCTTTTGTTGCTAAAATTGACTTGTTGTTGCTATGGGAATGTTGGATGTATTTCATATCCCTGTGAGCCCTCCCAAATGTTTAATCTATTGTTGTTGTGTACCATGAAACATTAAAGTTTATCACACATTTTAAAGGTACACTCCCTGATATTTATTGCACTGCTGAGTGTAAGAATAAAACCAGGTGATGTACTTTTAAAGGTCCTGAAAATGTGTTTTCCTAATTAGCCTCTTGTCATGACCAATTGGGTCCTACATAAACACACATTTTTCAGCCACAGTTGGAGCAGTTTGGGGTGATATAGATGATATTTTCTCTCAGTCACTGTCTGACAGTCTGTCCTTCTGTTCAACTCTTGGTTTCAAGCTGAACATTTCAGCGCCTGCTGGGAAGACCACCATAAAATCTGATATGGGAAATCAGGGGCCCTAGAAGACAGTTCCTAATAATGTGGTTGACCCCTTGACATTTTCCTCTAACTAATCATTGATATGATATGTTAATATATAATTAAGCAATTTCCTCTTTAAAATAAGCCCAGCCCAGTCGCCAGAAGAAAATGTTGGCATTATATATTTCTGCAAACCAAATACAGCATACATTACATTATTATGTTACATATGCGTCGGTTCCCCAAGGGACACAGTATATGAGCCAACTGTCATGAGAAGGTGGAGGGGATGGTGGATGGGGTGACACCTGAGCAAGACACCTACCAAGTTGCAGGCCACTATTCAAAACAGGTTGATTTTTAGCCAGTTATGGCCACATTTCCAGTGGCTTTTTAGCCAACAAACATTGATGTTTTTTAGCAACCAGTCTCTGTGTCTCCACCAGGGATAGCACCACAAAAGGTGGTTGATTTTCTCTAATTTCCAGCTGAGATAGTACCACCAAAAGTGGGTATTTTAAACCAAAACATGACCTTTCCCTAACCATAACCAGGTGTTTTTGTGCCAAAGTGTAACCACACATTAACCACAGCACTGTTGAAACATAAAGAAACATAAAGTTTCAAAGTATCTCCTACATAACACCATACAAATGTAATGTAACCCTGGTATGCAGAAACATAGATTCCAACATTTAATCTGCTGATTGGGTCGAGCACATTTGTGCTTCCCAGAAGATAATCCATTTATTTATCATCAGGACGAAATGCCAGTTTTGTACACAAGATGTCTCATTAATTAATAAGCAGATTATCATGAACTTTGCTGAGAACATTCATACTTCCCAAGGGATAAACCCTTTCATTTAATTGATCACCCTTGAACCTTTCTTTGGAGCCACCCTCAGGAAAAGTTTTTAGCACTTCACAAGAGCTATCTGTATCTTGCCTCTAAACTTTTAGCCACTGTTGTACCAACTCATGATACTGCTTTCTGACAAAAGTGACCTCAGCCATGGTAAAAATGAATCTGAATTATCATTACCTTGCTTCTTTGCTTCTTCTGTCCTCTTCCTCTCCTCCTCATACTCTGGGTCTTCCTCCTCATTTGCTGACTGATAGACCGTCTCTGCATCGCTGTCATCATTGTGCTCCTTGTAACCGTGAAAGCAGTCCTTGAGGCTGCCCAGCTCCAATTGAGCATGTTCATCGACCACCAGAGTGTATTTAACAGAGTCATAATTTAACCCTGCTGTAGCCTCACTCTTTGGTACAGTCTGAGCAGCCGCACAATCTCCCTGAGTGACAGAGTTGGTGCCTTCCACCTCAGTATTATTATCACATTTTCCTCTTCCTGTATCAACCTCTGACTTGGTACAGTCCATCTCTGCTTTTTCATTATTTGCAAGGCAGTGTGTTGGACCATTCTGGACATTAACACAGGGAGTGGGATCTCCCTCCCCCTCTTCTTCGCTGATGTCAGGGTTGGTTCGGTGGGATAGAGAGGGATGCAGGGGCCCTGGTGGGGGACCTTCTGTGTCTGAGCTGAGGGACATTCTGTTTGACCCCCCTTCGCTGCTGGACCGCGAGAGAATAGGGGGGTTGTCCTGGGTCCTGTCATGGTTTTGGCCTAAGAACACAAAATATGGGCAGTGGTTAGATTTAAGGAGTAACAGAGAAATTTGCAGACTGCTTGCAAAAGCATGAACCACTTTACATGTTTTACAAAACTTAAACTTGTTAACATGTATGATTAGATTAAATAAACCTTCCCTGGAAAAGTGATGTTGTACCATGATAAAGATATTAAAAAGAGCAACTAGTAGGCCTGCTGTTTAGCAATATACAACCAGAAATCTCCCAGTATTACTCAGGGTCTTTATTTTGCCCTTAAGCAAGGCACTTAACCCCTCAGGTTCAGGTACAGATGCTGAATGGCCAGTAGTCATAGACTGTGGCTGTAATCACAGTTGGACTTTTTTCAGTTTTGCCAGTGTGAATACTATTATTATATTCTGTCTTTCTGTTTGTGTCAGTGTGACTACTAGACTGCACCAATTTTGCACCAGTTACCAACTACACATTCCCTCAGCTGTACAAAGCACTGCAGGCAGTTTTGGATCACTGTTCTGGCCAATAACTCCATCAACCTCAAGCTTAATGTGAGGTTGGCCACATAGTGGCACATTAAGCAGCTAAAGGGCCAGATATTTGCCTCAGGAGTTGGTGAATATTAAAAACACAAGAAAGAAAAGTGAACGTTTGACTTTCATCAGGTTCATTTATTTAATTTATTAGATTGAGCATATTCATGCTTCCCCTAGAATGAACCATTTTCATTTTGGACATTTAATGAGTTTTAGTCTGGCACTATCATCCAGACAAAATGTCACTTTTGCACATGAGATGTCTTATAACGTAATGGGCAGATTACCATGAAATTAACTAAGAACATTCATGCCTCCAAAGGGATTAATTTAATGAACTTAGCCCATGAACTTAGCCCAGGACAATGTTTTTAGCCCCACTACTGTCAGGTTTTTAGACAACCAAAGTATCAAACAAGCTCTCTGTATCTTAGCTAGCATACAATTCAGCAATTACTTAAATAACATCCATGTGCTAATCAACAACTATTTCCTTGTTCTGTTTTAAGAATGCAAATAAAAGAATTGTTACTAAGGGACTATGACAAAAATAACTGGGGTGGGGAAGGGGGCTCAAGCTTGTGATTCACTTAGCACATTTCACTTAACTGTAGTGCTTATCATTCAGAATTAAGGCAAAAGTGAAAATGTAAAGTGCTCTTTGTTAGAGATCATGTTAAATCACTACTGGCATTATAATGTCTGTCATTATCATGGCTACTGTTTGATTGTTGTAGGACTGCTGTCACCTGCATAGAAAATCACACCTTTATAACCCATGGTACACATTAATCCTTTTTGATGTAGCAGTTGAAGTTTTGAAGTTTTTTGATCAGTTTTTCAAAAAAAAAAAATCTCACAAGGGACTTAAGTAAATGTTACAACAGCCACCTCCCTGCGCTCTAAGGGTGGTTCATTACCTTGGTCTTGGGTCTTGTCCTGGTTTCTTGGTGCTACAGGTGTGCGTGGAACCACCATGGCTGTCAGATAAACTTCCTGGTTCGACAGTATGTTATTTGACTTGAATCCCCCTCCTTTGTTAACCCCTTTAGCACCTACTTTTCCTTTCCCATCAGCCCCCCGGCTTTTCAGTCCATTTGCTTCCCTTGGCCTCTGATGTCCATTTCTCTCTTTCTCTTTCCCATCACATAGTCTTCCTCCTCTTCTTTCTTCCTTCCCTGCTGTCACTCCATCCTTTCCTCTGATGTCCCCCAGGCTCCTTTCTCTCATCGCTGTTGCTCCTCTCCCTGCTCTCCTTTGACTCCTCAGTGTGCTGGAGGACTGTGTGTGTGTGACCCCTGACACCTGTCTTTCCCGCAGTCGAGCGCGTGTGTCTGCAGTGGTGGCAGCAGCCTGAGTGTTGGCTCTGCTGTTTGTTCCATTGGCTGTGGGGGGTTTGGGGGCCGGGCGGCGCGTGCTGTGCCGAACTTTGTCCTCCGCTTTTGGTTGGGTATCTGGTGGTGTTAGATCCCCTTAACACACACACACACACACACACACAAAAACATCAGATTATGTATTAGGCAACCAGATGTATACAGAGGGATTATCAAAGTAAGCAGCTTGTCCTGGATAAATAACAGTTACGAGAACAATCACACATTCATTTCAAATAATTCAAGAACATATTTACTTCATTCTTGAGGATCTGTCGTCACTCTTGTACTGTCATGCTAGGACATCCCTGTTGCAGCTAGAAAAGGTGGGCTGAATTTGAATTACTTTATATACTGCTGGGTAGCATAACATATGATGATATATTATAATTGATAAGTTGGTATATATATTGTATTACTTATACTTAATTATAAGGCAGTCACCTATCTTTTACTCTTTTGAGGAGAGTAAGGTCACCTATCTTAAAAGATATGGACTGTCTTATAATTAATGGGTTTTTTTTGTATTGTTCTTTATATTGTAATATTAGGGTAAAAAGGCACTTGTAATGATTTTTTTCCTGTTTACATTCTCTCAGTGCAGGAGATGTGTTGGGATGTGTATTTCAATTAAATTGAACTGCAGTCATTTATATGATTGCCTCCTTTTTATTCTCTATTAAAACGACACAGGAACAACCAACTCCATAGTGTATGACAACCAACCCCACGATGTTGATGGCTGTCATAAGTGCACAGGACATATTTGACAATCCATATCTTTTGAACAGAATAAGCTTTAGGAGAGGTCATTCCATTCCTGCCTGACACTTCAGGCTTCCACTAAAGTGACATAAAATAGAAATACTCAACTCAGTACCTAAAATTGTACTTACAGTGGCATGCAAAAGTTTGGCCACTACTGGGTACCCCAAGACATTTGAGCTCTCAGACAACTTTTACCAGGGTCTCCAGGGCTTGTTCACAGTCACTGTTAGGAAAGGCCAGGTGATGCAGATTTCAAAGCTTTTTAAATATTCTGACTCCTTAAACCTTGTCAACAATCAGCAGCCATGGGCTCCTCTAAACAGCTGCCTAGCACTCTGAAAACTAAAATTGCTGATGCCCACAAAGCAGGAGAAGGTTATAAGAAGATAGCTAAGTGTTTTCAGGTAGCTGTTTCCTCAGTTTGTATTGTAATTAAGAAATGGCAGTGAACAGGAACTGTGGAGGTCAAGCTGAGGTCTGGAAGACTGAGAAAACTTTCCGAGAGAGCTGCTGGTAGGATTGTTGAAAGGCAGATCAAAACTCCTGTTTGACTGCAAAAGACCTGCAGGACTCTGGATTGGTGGTGCTTGTGTTGCAGCCAGTGGCACGGGGAACATTTCACAGGTAGAGTAAAGAATGGATTCTGTTAAATTCCAGCAAATTCTGGAAGCAAACATCATAACATTTAAAAAAAAAAAAAAAAGTTGAAGATGAGGGAAGGATGGCTTCTACAACAGGACAATGATCCTAAACACACCTCGAAATCCACAATGGACTACCTCAAGAGGCACAAGCTGAAGGTTTTGCCATGGCCCTCACAGTCCCCTGACCTAAACATCATTACAAATATGTGGATAGACCTCAAAAGAGCAGTGAATCGGGGTGTTGGTGGCTTAGTGGTAGAGCAGGTACCCCATGTACAAGGCTGTTGCTGCAGCGGCCCGGGTTTGACTCCAGCTCTGTGGCCCATTGCTGCATGTCTCTCCCTCTGACTCTGACCAGCTCAGTGGCCTTGTGGTAGAGTGTCCGCCCTGACTGGGAGGTCATGGGTTCGATCCCCGGCCGGGTCATACCAAAGACTATAAAAATGGGACCCATTGCCTCCCTGCTCAGGGGTTGGAATTGGGGGGTTAGATCACCACATGATTCCCAAGCACGGCACCACTGCTGCTCACCGCTCCCTCAGGGGATGGGTCAAATGCGGAGAACAAATTTCACACATTCAGGTGTGTGACAATCAGTGGAACTTTACCTTTATCCCTCTCTCTCTCTCTGCCCCTTTCACACTTCACTATCCTATCAATTAAAGGCTAAAAAATGCCCTAAAAATATATATCTTTTAAAGGAGCAGTGCATGCAAGACAGTCAAAGAATCTCAAAGAGCTAAAAGCCTTTTGCAGTAAGAATGGGAGAAAATGGACAGACGAGGTGTGTAGAAATGATAAGATTTGTCAAAGGGGGTGCTACTAAGTACTGACCATGCAGGGTGCTCAAACTTTTGCTTCAGGACCTTTTCCCCTTTCCTTATATTGAAACTGTAAAAGACTGACATTAAAAGTAATCTTGCTTAAAATATTTTATTTTAAGAAATGTGTCATCTTTAATTTTTTAACTTTGGAAATCAGGTCTTTTACTTGTTTGCTGTTCACAGTAAACAGAAATTTTGACCAAGGGTGCCAAAACTTTTGCATGCCGCTGTAAGTAATGCACCTGAGCATATGTATTTAGTTAGATTCCAACACTAAGCAAAGCAAACCAAAGATCCTCAGACGCATTGAGCAAACATTTTCTGAACGTGAAATTGCCCTCAGAATTCTTCTGACCATCATGGTGACTGTGGCACTGGGAGAGTGCAGCTTTTCAAAGTCTCAGGACAAACTGTGTGGGCTTGCTATTCCATCCATTGGAAAGGATGCTGCATCCAAGATGAATTACACAGATCTGACTGCTGAGTTTACTGCCAACAAAGCAAGGAGAGTGACAGGATTTATATAGTGCTGCCAAAGTAAAATGTGCCAACATGATGGTCAGAAAACTTTCCTGAGAAGTGTTCTTTTAAAGTAAAAGTGATAAAATGAGACTACAGAAATGATTTTAAACTCTGTGAAAATTTAAAAAGGGTATCTCTATGCCTTTAATTCTTTAGGTGTTTCACTGTATTTGTAGTGGACAAATCAAATTTTTATCCATCTTAATATTGTTATAGCTTTTAAAACGTTCTTGTTATTGTCATTCTTCTTCCTTACTTTCTACCACAAAATCTGTCTACCCATACATGAAAATAAAACAAACCCTCCATATAATTCCAATCCTACATCAAAGTTCCTCACCTAAAATTGTGGGCTCATAGTCCCGATGGTAGCAACCATGTAAAGTTTAAAAAAGTTAAAGTTAAACTTTGGAAGGTCATAACAAAGCAGTCAGATATGCTATGTCTTGGCAACCTTTCACCAAGATTTTTTAGATTCTTTGACCTGGCAGGATTATATTCATCACTTGTTCATCACCTATCTCCTCACACATTTTTAGCTTAATTGACACCATATTCACTACACAGCATCTTCAGACTGTCCTACACACGATTCAGATTTTTGAAATATCAAAAATTGAGCCCACAGTGCATCTAAATGTTTTTATGTAAATACTATTGTAAACGGCTGCAAATTCTCACTAAATAAATTTCCAGTGTTCATGAAAAACATACAAAATTTTGATGTCATGGTGGAGGTAGTTTGACAAATGTCAGAAGTGTCATTAGGAGTCAGTAGAAATAAAAGCATCTTAATCATCAGTTTGCCACTTATGAAGCAATCAGTCTTTGCAAAAAAACAAAACAAATTAAAGGCATTTCTGTGTTGTCTAGATTCATTCATTCATTTTCCGTAACCGCTTATCCTGTTGGGGGTCATGGGGCTGGAACCCACCCTGGGTTCAAACCCTCTTGCTGTAAGGTGACAATGCTGTCTGCTGCACCAATGTGCTGCAAATACAATATATTACCAACAACAAAAGGACATAACTATGAAAATAACAATGTCAGAGAAATGCATTATTTTACTGTGGTGAATACATGTTAGAATCTACCTTGTATGTAGTTTTAACTTTTACCACATACATTACAAAGTAGCAACAACAGCAGATCTCTCTGGGTTGACCACTAAACTAACTTGGTGCATGGCGTTTCGTTTTATATGTGCAAGAGGGTCAGTGTTCAGGGATTAATGTTATGAAACAGTAGTATGTCCCGACTGTGTGCATACTGCATCCAACCCCATGAACTTTTATAGAGCAGCTGCAGTACCCACTAAAATTAAAAAAGAAAATATGTGATTCGGAACACACCTATGATTTTTTTGTTAAGATATTTTTTGGGCATTTTTGCCTTTAATTTATAGGAAAGCTGAGTGTGAAAGGGGGAGAGAGAGAGGGAATGACATGCAGCAAAGGGCCACAGGCTGGAGTCGAACCCGGGCCGCTGCGGCAACAGCCTTGTACATGGGGCGCCTGCTCTATCCACTAAGCCACCGACACCCCACACCCATGATTTCTAAAGTATTTTTAATGTAATAAGTTTTCATTAGCCATGGTCTGGGCAGTCCTGCTGACAGACCCTCCTGTATTTTGTCTGTCCTATTTTCATCTTTCTGCTCTTCCTCCTTCTCCTTCCTTCTCAAAATGCCCAGCCCTGACTCACTGCTGCAGCAGCTATACTTGCTTTAGTTTTTCCAAACTCATTCAGTGTCCATACCTGTAATATGTGGGGAGGAGGAGCGGGAGTCCTTCCAGCTGTCCTTCTTGCCTAAAGAGTTGTTGTTGATGGAGTCCTGGATAGAGTCAAAGAAACAGAGTGTAAGAGCAGAAAACAATACATGACTGTGTTGATCACACACACACACACACACACACACACAAAGTATCTATCTATCTATCTATCTATCTATCTATCTATCTATCTATCTATCTATCTATCTATCCCCAAATATTTCTCCCTCTCTTTGCCAGTAAGAGGAATCAGCATCTACCAGTAAGTATGCGACGGTGCAGACTCGACGTCATAGGGACCATGCAGAACGCTGACTCACTTACTGACATCCCATCGTGCATCTGCTTTCCCTGTTGCAAACCCCATCCTGTTACTATGGTCACCGTGTGTGTGTGTGTGTGTGTGTGTTTGAGAGAGAGAGAGTGAGAGAGAGAGAGAGAGAGAGAGAGCGAGTGAGAGAGAGAAGGAGGACCTGAATATCCCTCTCTTTGTTAAGTACATCGCTCTCTCTATGATGACATCTTCCTTCAGACTGGCATTACATGAGCACTATATGGTGAATTCAATGTGCAGTCAGAAATATAACGGAACCAATTTCATTATTAACAACAGTCATAATGCAATTTATCATTTTCTGATGCTCAGAACCGTCTGTGAAGGAAAGTGGTTGGCCTGTTAGTTAATTAACCTGCTACAACTACTTTCTGTAAAGGCAGTTTCCCAAACCTCTACTGACCCATACAACATTTTCATTTTTATTCCAAAAATCTCATCAGCAGATCAAAAAGTTGATGAGTTTACTTGTCACTATACAGGGCATACACTGAGTTACCACCTTCTTCATTTTTGTGGTGAGATTGTGCTGGAATTCCGTGGTCCTTTTAGAGTTAGTGTGCGTGTTGTATTGGATTACATGGAACAGTATCTCCTGTGTACATATGATGGGTGAAAAACAAACTCGAATGCTTTCATTCAACTAGTTCAAGTACTTCTGCATCAGACTGACTGGCCTTACACAATTAATGTTAATCATGCAGAGTACTGATTACTAGTGGACAGGGGGAGTCGACATTTCGACCATATAGTCTGAACATGATAATGTGCAAATGTAGCTGTGAATGTGTTGGATTGTGTGAATGGATAATCTGTTCTTATTTTACTGTCGCTTTGCAGTGATTGAAGTTCATTTTATCACCTTGTGCTTTTGCACTATGAGGAACCATCACATGGGGCCAATGAAGCAGTATGAATGAGTACTGAATTTAATTACACTGAGACAGAGAGGGGATAATGAGAAGTGATGATAAGAGCTGGTAAAAGGAAGAAAGAGATTAGAGAGAGTTCCAGGGTCGAGAGAAAGTGGAGGAGAAGAAACACAAAGAGGCAGAGGAAGAACAGCTCAGTCACCAGAAGAAAATGTTGGCATTGTACATTTCTGCTAACCATTGATACATTACATTTGTATGTTTTATACATAGCATATCAACATTGAGCTGATTTTGTCATCAGGAGGTGGAGTGGATGGTGAATGGCATGACATCTAAGCGAGATGGCTGCCAGGCTGCAGACCAACAACTTGTTTGAGACCAACAAACAGAAACACTAGTTGTCTTTTGGTGATCCTTCGAGGCGTCGTTACTGGTGTTTTAGCTACGGGATCTGGACATTTTTCACATCACATTGGGGTTTTTCCCTGCAGCATTTCAGCCACTAAATCTAAGTGTTTTTCATGGACCAGTACAGTGTTCCCTGCGCTGTTTGAGGCACTAAATCTGGGCGTTTTTCACAGACACATCACAGTGTTCCCCTGCTGCGTGTTAGCCACCCAATGTGGACGTTTTTTACAGACACATTGTGGCATTTCCCTGTGGCTTACCCCAGTGATGTTTTAGTCACTGAACCTCAGAGTTATTCAAAAGCCCCCTCCCTGCATTTCCCGCAGCTTTTGTGCCATAACCAAGTGGTTTTTGTGCCTAAACCCAAACACACCTTCATCACAGCTTGTTGAGAAACACAGAGTTTCAACATGTCCATTGTTAAATAATGTACAATATAACGTATCTGTGATTTGCAAAAATGTACAATGTCAACGGTTTTTCTTTTGTAACTGGGTTGAGATAGAAATATTCAGAGAGAGCTGGGTAATGGTTAATGTCCAGCTTGACTCAGAAAGTGGACATGAATTTTTTTAAACCATGCCACTACCATGATACCACCTATAATGACGGCGATGTCAGCCTGTTGGTTGGTTAATTGGTCAGTACACCACTTTGGTCCTGACTGTAATATCTAAACACCCACTGACTTTTCCTCTTGTGACATTTGCTGTGGAGTGAAATATCTTGACAACGACTGGATCATTTTGTGATCCTCTGACTTTTCCTCTAGTGCCAAGAATGTTCAAAACTTGCATAATATATTTAATCTGTGAAATCTCTCCACGTCATGGATTGGCTTAAAATTTTGCATGAACAGTCATAGTTCCCAGTTGAAGCATCCTACAGACTTAAATGACCCCCTAACTTTCCCTCCAGCATCACCACAAGGTTGACATTCAACATGCTATCACTGTCACTGTAAGCATGTCACCATGCTAATGTGACCATTTTGCACAAATTAGGTAACTGTGGTACTGGAAACATGGCTGCAGGGAAGTGGGGGAAGAAGTTCTGAAGAAGATCTCAAACAATAGTAAGAAGAAACTAGTAACTAATGTTGCTAAATAAATGTAGTGGAATTAAATCTACAATATTGGCTTCCAAAATATTGTGGATTTTAAGTAGAAAGTGGCATAAAATGGAAATACTCAAGTAAAGTACAGTGCTTGAGTAAATGTACTTAGTTACATTCTTGCATGATTTACAGGGAGCAAAAGGGCAGACAGGTTTAGCAAAATGACAAATTTACATTACCCCTGGGCGGGCTGGGCTGTCCTACTTTTATCTACTCCTGAATACTTGGGAGATTTAAAGCAGTGACCTTCAACCGTAAATATATTTCAACCTGGTCTCACTCCCAAATAGCAATGCTTGGGCAGTGGCCCTTAGCATCAGATACTGATGCACTTAAGGGCCCTATTTAGGCCAAGTCCACAGTAGCACGGGTATTTTTAAAACCGAACTTTTTTGGCCTCCAGTTTTTAAAAAATCTGCGTTCATACGAGCGGTGTAATAAAAATACCTCCATCCACATGACACCGCAAATTTCACTATCAAGCAATGTAACACACAAGCCAAAGCAGTAGGTGGCGATATAACTCCTAACTGTAAGGCCATTGTCAACCTCTGACGGACCCCCCCCCCCCCACACACACACACACACACACACACACACACACTCAGCAGAACTCCAGAGTGTCGAAATCAGTCTGCTAACAGATTCTGATTCCTCAGCAGCTCCGTGAGAATCACTGTCATCATGTCACTGAGTATGATACAGCCACAAAGTGCTGATATGCTGCTAAATAGCAGCAGTATTTTGTTTAGGTCCATCCTCAAATCGTCTCTCGCACACACTGGATCGGGTAAAAACACAGCTGTTTTCTGTTTACGTCGCACACTGTGACGTCATACAATGGAGACGAGACAAAACAACTGCGGTTATCCTGTCCACACATGACTGCTGACTGTATGCCTGCTGCGCTTCGCAGCACTTCGTTGGCAGCGTGGTCCTAACTGTGAATTAGTCATGGGTGTGTTTTAGGCGTATCATTCAATAAGCCAATCAGAGTGTCACCTCTCATTCCTTTTAAAAGAGGCGCGATTGGAGCGCATGGCGGAGAGCTAGTTAGATGGCGTACCTACCAACTGGAAAGAGTGAGCGTTTTACAGCTGAGGAGACGGATCTCCTCGTGCGGGAGGTGAAGGCCCGTCAGAACCAGATCTACGGGGACAGCAGACAGGCACCCAAGCTCCCCGAGGTGAAGCAGGCGTGGGAGGAAGTGGCGGCGATCGTTTCGTCGTCTTCTGGTATCACCAGAACCGTGACACAATGCCGCAAACGGTATAATGATGTCAGAAGACGGGGGAAACAGAGGGTCGCCGCCCACCGACACCAGCAGCATGCCACGGGAGGAGGCCCACCCAACACCACCAACGATCTGACGCCAGCGGAGGACATCGCCGCCTCTACCCTCAGTGTGGAGAGCATTGAGGGCTTTGGGGGACTACAGGTTGGCGTCCAAGGTAATGCAATAATCGCAATACCTATATCAGTGTGTATAAACCATGCAGGCTTCTTGAGAAATGTATTGATTTCACATTATCACACACAACAGACATTCAATGAATCAACCAAACTTTATTTACATAGCACATTTCATAGCTACATTTTGTTTTTAAAATGAACCCATCATCTTCATGCAGCTCCGCTGGCTGATGATCCAGGGGCTGGACCCTGCTCCTGGCAGCTGGGTCCAGGGGCTGGACCCAGCTGCCAGGAGCAGGCGGCTGTTGTGGGGGAGGAGGAGACCGCACCTGCACCTCCGACGAGACGGAGACGGAGACTGAGGCAGCTCGCCCGGCCTGAGGACCACCCATTCGTGGAGGTCCAGCGAGGAGGCTTCACCATGCTCGAGCGGGAACTGGGTGGCCTCAGGCGGAGTGTTGGGCGCCTAAACACCCGCCTGAGCCGTGTTGAAGGCCTGCTGCGGCCCCTTGGTCGCATAGCCGATAGTTTGGACAGGCTCGCTGGAGCAGCTGAGCGCCTGCTTCAGCGAGGAACACCGCCAGATTCTCCCCCTCCCCCTCCTCCTCCTCCGATCAGCGTCAGCAGCACGTTGGATGATGCTTCTGAGGAAGACAGGGCTCAGTCGAAACTGTCAAGCAGGTAAAGAAACATCTCCTTAACTCTTTTGTCTGAAGAAAAGAAACTGAACATTTCTTTAAAATGGTTGTGTTCAGTCACAGGTAAAATCAGCGTGGCGTTAATTAGACTACTTAAGTATGGAAACCTGAACACTAATACAAGAAAGATCTTACTAAATATCTGTGGAATATTATTCAAACCTGTTTTCATCATATAATAGAGCACAGCTGTCAGGACTGTCGCGGAGCTCCCCAA